TAAACATCACGTGTTATTGAATCATTAAACGATTGGCACCACCTTACAGGTTACAAGACTAATGATCGCACACTGACACAGTGTAAAATCTTCCCCAGTTCAGCCAGTTGTGTTAAAGCGTCGACTATGGCCTTTGTTAAATTAATGTATAAAAACCGCCACATATCTGACACACAGGCCTTTATAAGAGTAAGGTACGTAAAATAAACACCAGATCACCAACACTCTGTGTGACTGCTACACTATAAATGGATATTCGTATAAGTGCAATTGATTCTCTGATTCTCAGGTTGACGAGTAAGTGACATCACCATCCGTTTCAGAGTGACGACTATCCCCTTTTTTCTGTGTTAGATAAATATAGTCGTCAGTTCTCGAACACTCCGAGTAAAGCAAACACACGCAGGCGTGGAAAAAATTTACTTTGACACTCAGAGTGAGCAAGGCCATTTTCATACAGGTTAATACCGTCGCCAATCAACGAGACGGTAAACAGTTGCTGACATAACGAAAAAGTAATTCTACACAGTAACTTTTACTTTTAGGTTGAATTTCATTCACACCAAACCCATAACGATGTGAGCAGATCAGAATCATATACACTGATGCTCATAAGTTAAGCAACACTTTCTTATTTCTCGAATTTCTCAGCAACCAAAAAATTTATTGAGGCAAAATTTGTACAGTAGCTAGATATTTCTCTTGTTTTTAATTTGACTTACTGGACCGTGACATTAGAGTACTATTTACTGTTGGACACGATAGAATATGCAATGGGGGTGCCACTTGCGAAAACCACAGTTTGGCCATGCCATGAGGAGCTTCCAGTTTGGCTAGTTTCATGGGCACAATGTGTTATTTTGGACTAACCAATGGTTAGAAGAGGAATCAACCNTGTCATGACGTTGTGACCTGAACATTAGCAATGACCACGACGATATCAGAAACGTTAACATTGTTGTGAACAATGGACATCAACGATAGGAGTAACGACACTTCCACGACAACGACCAGTGGCAGCGCTTGCAGTGTTACGTCACTGTTACTGGATTAACTGATTTTTGCCAATAAATGATTGAGTTTAATAATGTAGTGATCTACTTCTTACCGTATAAAGCACAATGGAGACAGATGCATTAAGCTAGTTTTTTTTTAAATATACAATACTAAGACCAAATTTAGACGAATTTTAGACGATTTTTTCTCAAATGTATGAGTTAAGGCGTTGTTTAAGAGCAGACTAAACCTTAATTAGCATTAAGTGGGTTGAGCGTGAGACATTTAATATAATTCATCCATAAACGTAAATTTACCCTTTTTACCATTAATATTTTTTCAACAATTGCAATTCACAGCACCAAATAACTGGTTTTAATTATTGAAACTTTTACCCCATTTCCAGAGATTAGATCGATCTACTTTAGATCGACCTAATTCCCTGGGGGTTCACGCTAAATAGCTGTCAGCCGAGCGGACACGAAAGTTAATTACCCCCCTTACAGCTTGTAGTAGGCGGGACGGATATTTAAGCTGGATTATCTGACAGTAATCTTGTGAGACTCCCCGCGGGGATAGATCGATCTAAAAGCTCTGGGAATATAGCCTTAAATTTCGTGTCGAATTTTTGTTTTGAAATGATAAAAAACACGCACATTTGTACTCTTCGTTATATATAAATATCTGAAAAAGGAAATGATAATAACCATTTGATTATATTAAACATCACGTGTTATTGAATCATTAAACGATTGGCACCACCTTACAGGTTACAAGACTAATGATCGCACACTGACACAGTGTAAAATCTTCCCCAGTTCAGCCAGTTGTGTTAAAGCGTCGACTATGGCCTTTGTTAAATTAATGTATAAAAACCGCCACATATCTGACACACAGGCCTTTATAAGAGTAAGGTACGTAAAATAAACACCAGATCACCAACACTCTGTGTGACTGCTACACTATAAATGGATATTCGTATAAGTGCAATTGATTCTCTGATTCTCAGGTTGACGAGTAAGTGACATCACCATCCGTTTCAGAGTGACGACTATCCCCTTTTTTCTGTGTTAGATAAATACAGTCGTCAGTTCTCGAACACTCCGAGTAAAGCAAACACACGCGGGCGTGGAAAAAAATTTACTTTGACACTCAGAGTGAGCAAGGCCATTTTCATACAGGTTAATACCGTCGCCAATCAACGAGACGGTAAACAGTTGCTGACATAACGAAAAAGTAATTCTACACAGTAACTTTTACTTTTAGGTTGAATTTCATTCACACCAAACCCATAACGATGTGAGCAGATCAGAATCATATATGAAAATACTATGATGTGAGCAGATCAGAATCATATATGAAAATACTATGATATATGTTATGTTTAATGATATATGTTATGTTTCTTGAAAAGAGCGCATTTCTTCTTACACCAACGAATGCTAGTTTTCTTACCATATGCAAATGCGGGAAGGCATACAAAAATCAGCCAGAGCGCACAAAAAGTCATCAAACGGAGCACACCCAGAATTAGCTCCACCTGGTCTTCAATTGGGTACTCTTCAAACACGAGTACATTTACTCCGAGTTGCGCGTGATCACATTCGCTACTTTGCATAATAAATCATATCAAATTGCATCTGAATCATCTTCACTATATCCATGCTTCGTAGTGTATACGATATCTATGGGCAATGACGTCACTATCTGTGATGTCATGACGTTGTGACGTGAACATAAACAATGACCATGACGATATCGGAAACGTTAATATTGTTGTGAACAATGGACATCAACGACAGGAGTAACGTTACATTTTCAACACTTGCAATTCATAGCACAGAAAAACTGGTTTTAATTTGTACTAAAACTTCCCCCGTCTTATTTTTGTTTTGAGACGATAGAAAATACGCATTTGTACTCTTCCTTTTAATTTCACATTCAAGGAGCAAAGCGCACAGCACGGCGCAACACCAGAGAGATAGCAAGCCGTGATTGGCCCCAATGCCAGCATTCCAACATTAGCTGCGAGAAAAAATCCCTTACGGGGAAGTTAAAAAGTCAAAATGCATGAAGATGTAAAAGCTTCTTTCGGGCCTCAAAACTTACTTTTCGTCTTCCACCCTTGTTGCCAGGTTGTGGCTGCTTGTCTTGGACATTTTTCTCTTTTTCCCTAAGCTTTCCCGGCGGCTGGCTCCTCCTTCCAGCTTGCCATTTTTCAGAGGTCCTTTTACTTATATCGGCTTTATTTTTCTCCTAGCTAAACGAGAGTAGTGTTTTTACCTGGTTTGCTTGGTATCGTTTTCTGCTTTAAAAGTTTATTGAATAAATAGTCGTTTTCGAATTAGATAATTTGTTAAATTTCGTCTTGTTTCATCGACAGCCGCTAAAATAAATACTTTGTAGACTGTCGGTAGAATAAATTATGTGGCAGGTAATAGATGCCCCTCTTCTAGTTGCACCGTCTCACTGCAAACTGCCTCTCTTCACACTTTCCAGTTTCTTTACAAAATTCCCATCGACTTCCTCACGTTCTCATATCGTGTCTGAACAGTTTGAAATTTCAAACCATTTTAAAAAATAACATTGTATCTCTCCGTATCTTAGATATCCACCATTTAATGTGCCTGATCATTCGGAAGTTTTCTAATAACATATTGTAGGCAAAGCTGTTAAGTCCATTTTCACCTCAACCTCCTTTCATATAAGGCTTACATTTATTTCACTACAATGTTTGTATCAACATGCAATCTCCAAAAGGCAAGATAAAACGATCGTGTTGTTTTACCTTTTCCTGAAATCAGTTTATTTGATTTGCAATCGTTTTACATTGCTGAATACAACACATTGTATAATTAACATTACTTAAGTTGAACAAGTATATACAGTGACTTTCATTACTTATAAAATTCAATAATCCTGAAATAAGTTCAATATTCTCCTTTTTTCTAACAATAAATGTTTTAATTGAAACATTAGACAAAAATTACAAGAAAAACACTAACATATTTGCCCTATAATCAGATACTTACTAGTACATGTGTACTATGTTATAATTCCACTGCATTTTCTAATAAACATTATCATTATCTTGTCACCAGCAAAACTAATGCCAACACAGAATATTCAAGCATTTTTTGCACATTTACATAGCAATTGCAGCCTGCAAATAGGCTTTAGATTGAAAAATACAAACATCAATGTAATCTAAAATAACTTTATGCCTCCTTTGCATATTAGCTAAAAAAATAATTGCTGAAAGATTCACAAGCAACTTTGAATGAGCAAACATATGAAAAGTGCACGATGTCCTAGAAAGAAAGTTCCACTTTAGCCTCTTTCATCCCCTTATGAAGTCCACATATTTTTAACAATTCACATGATTTGTGAATAGGGCAGATTTATTATTAATCCACCTGTAAAGGAAAAAATAGGAAAATACATGTAGGTTAAATAAAAATCTAAATGGAAGATAATTCTATGTATTGAAACTAAGTTTGATGAAATTTTTTGTCATTTGTTTTTTTTTGCAGACAAAAATTTTAAAATTACAAACCATAGTAAAATCTTTTTCAAACTCAAGAATTCTTTTTATACTAATTTAGATAAATATCTTCTTTAAGTAATTTACACAAAAAGGACTGCATTTTAACCTATTAAACCACACAAAACATTAAAAAAACAAAAAACATATGCAACAATTTAAACCAAAATATTAAGATCTTAATCTTACATCTCCCCCTCCAAAAGTCTGCGCTCCTGCTCCTCCAAACCCACCACTAGGTGGTGCCCCAAAACCTCCAGCACCACCACCAGGGGTGCTTCCCCCGCCAACTTTGGAGGCCAACTTCTCCATGATTTTCTGGACTTTGGGGTTATTTTGATACTTGGCGATATTTGCAGGGTTTTGGCTTATTTCTTGGAATGCTGTTGCCACTTCTGGGTCCTACAGGGATTGAGAAATATTTTTCATTAAGTAACAACAGCAAGTTCAACATACTCATAGCTACAACTTCTTTAGCATTCAAAGCAGGCTATGAGGATTTAAAATAATTTTTATTGAATTCATCTGTTTATAGAACAAAAGTAGAAAAAATAACTTCAAATTGTTTTTCCTGGATAAAAAAAGTCAATATTTCCAAATTCTTTATTATTTTTTTTTTCAACCCTAAGTTTACATGAGTTGATGAATATGAAATAAAATCTTACCTGGAAAGCCTGCAATAACTCTGGGTCACTGAGAAGAGTTGATAAATCTGGCATACCAGCTGGCATTCCTCCTGGCATGCCACCTGGCATACCACCAGGCATACCACCAGGCATGCCACCTGGGAAGCCACCTGGCATGCCACCAGGAAAGCCGCCTGGAAATCCACCTGGAAAGCCTCCACCATGCTGCCTTTGTTCCTCCTGCTCCTATAAATCAAAATCATCAATAAGCAGAGACTTTGTCTATACAGATTAAACAGCATTATTGGATTATAACAATCTGTATCTAAAAGTTAATTAGTACTAGTATGTAATACAGCATACTGTATATCAACCAGTCTCATTTAGCAGTACTTGATTAGACTTGAGAAAGGTTAATCCAAAGCTAAATACTGAGGATAATTTGTGATCCTGAGATATACAAAGTGTTTAAAATTGATTTATTTTGAGAGGGGGGGGGGTTAAAATGGAAATACGTTTCTGAACAGAAAAATAATGCATTACAGCCAATAAATTGCATATGTAATCAAATTTACCTGTTTCCTTCTTTCTGCTTCTTCTTTAGCTTTTCGCACCCTTTCCTTCCTTTCTTTAAGTTCTTTCTCTTCTTTCTTGCGTTCTTGTTTGCGCTTGTGCTCTTGAATTTTTAAAGCCTAAAAAAGTACGCATATCAATAAATTCATGATGTACAAATTACTCACATAAATCTTTTGTTAAGACATTACTTCTATGTGGCACTCTTTAAAAAATATCCCTGGTTACTGGTCTTTAAAAAAATTCATCAAACGTGTCACAAGACATATCCTTGCCACCTTTCTGTACGCACCCTGGCAAGCAAGTCAAGGTCATTACCCACAATGCACCATTCACAATGGTAGCTTACAGCAAAACAAAAGTGGCATGTTTGCTTATTTTTTTCTTTTCTGAACATTATGTGGGACTCAGCAATGGGAAAGGTACGTAAATTAAATTCTATTAGTGTTTGAAATATTCTGTGAAACTTAGAATAGAAAATGTTTCTGAGAAAACTCCATTATATGCATAAACGTCGGGATATTATTTCTGGCCCTGAATCATGCATTTCAAGTACCTCTAACACAACCCAGATCTCATTTAATTTAAAGTGAAAGTGAAACTTTCCACACTCAAAATGAGTTCATTAAGTTCCTTGAACTTTTTCACACTCTCAGACATGCAAAATAATGCCTTGCCTAGCAAAAACAAACTTTTTGTTCACGTTTACGGTGCAATAGTCAGAAGACTCAATAGTCCAAAGGCTAATTGGTCCAGAGGTTCACTGAAGAACCTTAGGACAAACAAACCCTTTTATTTAAAAAAAAAAAAAAAGAAAAAAAAAAGAAAACAGATGAAAATGTTACATTACCACTGACTTTCGAGACACAGCCCAACATAACAGGGCATAAAGACATAGGGACCAAAAATTTTTATTATACATATCCCTGTCTATTTGAAAGTACATTGCCCATTTGTATTTGGTTGTATTAAATCTTAAACAAAGCAGCCAATTATAATGCATTTCTTATTCTACTTCAGAAGAAAAATCCCCTACCAAACAAGATGTGTCCCATTCCAGATTAAGAGACAGGAAGAACTTGGAGAATATACTTCAACTGTCACCAGATGTTCATGGCAAACAGAAATGTATGATTTATATTACATAGTAAATGTATACAGTGTAGTTATGTTTTCATTAAGCTCAAGGAGGTTTTGTTTAAAATATTCAAGGCGTACAAGGCAAAAATCTGGATTTGGACAAATATTCCAACTCCACTAATTTTACTTTGGTGGAATTTTTTGGTAGAAGATAGAAACAGAGAAATGGAAACTATCAATTAAAAAATCCTCAAATAAAAATATCAAAGATTGTGAAATTCAATATAAATATTATACAACAGAACTTTGAGAAGTCATAGACTGGATTCAATGTAAATCTTCAAAATAATGTCAATGGAAGACCTTTCACACCTTAGATTTTAAATCCCATATAGCACAATCTTATCAGCCAGCAATATCACCAATTCTGTTTTTGGTCAAGTGAACAGAGCTCTAGTGAAGCAGCACTGTATTATAATCTATATATCTGTTTTTTCCTGAACAGACAGCAGCTCCACTTTAAACATCAAAGCAATACTAGACAAATTGAGGGCAATATACCAAAGCAGTATTAAACCATTAGAGGATGTTTACAGGTTTACAACACTTGGAAAAAACACAGTGACAGGTATGTAGTTTACAGGCTGGCTTCCTTGTTGTGTGTGTGGGTGTGGGAGGGGGGGGGGTTCTATGGATGACGTAAGCACATAATAGCTTGATGGCAGAGTGTTATCAGTGAACTTGAATTATGCACACAAACTCTACTAGAACAAACTGATAGCATATCGGGTCAATTTGTTTGCAAAAGACTGAAGATTTTTTAAAAAAATTTACTACTACTTGCATTTCAGTATGTTCCACATAATACTGACTGACCTTATATATAGGCATACATATATATCAAAGTATCATATGTACCTCTCCTGCTATTTAACCTGACATTTGAATCCATCCCTAGAACATGCCATGAAGACCAATTGAAATGGCATGAATAATTTCTGTAATATCACTGGTCAATGCCTCACCTGATATAATCCTAGGAGCCATTTTCACATTAGAACGGGGGCACATAAACTGGTCTTATTTTGTAGACAATAAATTTCTGCAAACTTTGATCTTAGATATATCTGTAGCAGTGCACCTATTTTATAACAAAAAGTCAATACTAGTTCATAAATTTCAGGCCAAGTACCTTCATGATATTATTATTTTTACTACTGCAGTATATACTGAACAAAAACCTAGGTGATTTTGCTATGTAATACTGTCATCCACAAACTGATATTTGAAAATAAAATCGCTTTCAGATGGTGAAATCTATGCCAAGCCTATGATATTATTCCTTGGGCCCTGGAGCACAGGGAAATCTACAATGATAAATTATCTAGTGGGTCTGGAAGATGACGCATATAAATTACGCACAGGTGAGGTGAAGTCCCTTTTTTTGGATCCCAAATCATTATATTAATGTGAAACTAATCTGAAGTAAAGTAGCTATAATTGCTCTTAGTCTATCACCCTTTCTTGAATATAAATTATGCAAAGGTGTGTTTGAGAGTATTCAACTGTATCCAATAAAACAGGCAATCTTTAAGACTGTTTCTGAATAACACATGGACAGATACAGCTCCAGTGTTTGGAGAAAAATAATAATTCATTTGGAGTTAGTGATCAAGGTAAAGCATTTCAGTTCCGATTTGACTTAATTTATAAAATAAAAATTACATTTATTTTTGTAATATTGTTATTTATTATTTCATCATTTATTTACTTTAATTTTTAATTAAACTTTTTATTTAAACATTTATTTAAACATTAACAATGGATTTAATTAATTATATTATGTTATTATTACAAACTTATAAATTACAAATTAAAGAAATCTGTTGTAAAATTGCTGTAACTACCACTCAATCACCCATTTTTTACATTTAGACTAATATATATATATATATATATATATATATATAATGAAAATATCAAAAATTTACAGGAGCAGAGCCAACCACCTCAGACTTTACAGTATTAATGAATGGAGAGGAATACAGGACTATGGAAGGGATAGTCCTAGCAGCAGACCATACCAGGTCCTTCTCAGCGCTGGAGAAGTTTGGACAGGTACATACTGGAGTCACATTTGTAAAATTGCTCAGTGGCAAATAAACATGGTAGTAATTAATATACCAGAAGTAAAAATTATAATAAAATAGTAAGGGTTGTGAAAAAATACAATTTGTAGACGTAAGATTTGAGGTAAGGGCAAAGTTACTAAGACCGTAACAATTGTAATTTGTGAAATGTGCCACTATTCTCATCTACGGAAGACAGATGGATAAACGTGTACGGTTCCATAAGATCAGACTGAGCTGGCTCTGATTACAGCATTCACTCACTAATTTAAATCTTCTTACTGTTGACTTCATTGTAATTTCTTCAAGGTTATTGATTTATCATTTCATTTACTCTAAAGAAACTTGCTGACATGAACTTGTTGGATTTTTAAATCAAATCTTCAGCCACTGCAATCAAAAACACTTGGGGGCATATTAATTTTGTTGTAACTAAAAGAATCATGAGAATATTATTATAATCCAGTTAAGACCGTGGCCTTAATACTTTTTTAAAACATCCACATTGCAGGGGTTCTTAGAGCGACTCCAGGGGATTGAAATGCCACACAGACTGCTTCAGAAAGTAACCTTCATAGACACTCCAGGGATTATAGAGAACCGTAAGCAGCAGGAGCGAGGTTACCCCTTCAATGAGGTGAGCCAGTGGTTTATAGACAGGGCAGACCTAATTTTTGTCGTATTTGATCCAACGAAACTTGATGTTGGCACAGAGCTAGAGGCAATCTTTCAACTACTCAAGGGAAGAGAAGGACAGATAAGACTAATTCTCAACAAGGCGGATTCGGTAACACCTCAAGAACTCATGAGAGTCTACGGTGCTTTATTCTGGAGCCTCGCCCCTCTTATCAATGTAACCGAACCACCTAGAGTTTTCATTGGTTCATTTTGGGCCAATCCAATCAAACCTAACACTATGACACAATTATTTGAACAAGAGGAGAACTCCTTGCTTCAGGATGTTCACGAAGTAGTCAGAAATGGGGTTGCCAATAAAATTGCCTTTGTACGTCAGCACGCTATCAAGGTACGGATCCATGCTTTGTTAGTAGACAAATATGTGGAGGTGTTTAAAAATAAGAAATCTCTTTTCACTGATAATGAAAAGATTTTGTCACATATCATTGATCATCCAGAGAAGTATTACATATTCCAATCTGTGCAGAGCCACGCAAACATCAGCAAATATGACCTCCCAGATCCTGACATCTACAAAGACTTCTTCCACATGGAGGCAATTAACACTCTAATGCCATTAAATTATCACTGCTCTTTCTTCAAAGGTTGTATGTATGATGATCTCAATGCTGCTATAACTGTCGATCTACCAAAGTTACTGCAGGAGGTTCGTAAGGGGCAGGATGTATGCACAGTTGGGGACAAGGATTGTGAGAATAGTTAAAAGGAAGGACACAAAGGAGCTTAACACTCCCTGATATGTTTAGTCTCAATAATATCTACTATTTCTGTGGGTGAAGTCAAAGCCTTTTGTCATAATCATATCATATAATACAGTAGACTATGCATAACTCTACACCTTGTAACTGGAATTATTGTTTTACTGGAACAAATTTTATAGAACAGATTTTTTTTCTTCTGTACTAGCTGAAATAATATGCATAGTTGGAATCTTCACATAACATGAACAGATTTTCCCCAATTTTAAAGTGTGTGAGTCATGTTAAGTCTACTGTGTATATTCCTTTCATCAACTCTTTTGGTTTTAAAATAGCAACAGACTAATTGCTGTCTTTACTCAAACAGAAGTCTTGAGAACAAAAGCTTGTCTTCTTTCTTGAAGGTTTGTTCAACAAACCAAACTTAACTTAAAGCCCAAATGTTTTGACTTTTATTTGAACCAAAGTAAAAAAAAATTACCTCTTCAAAGTAATTTTATCAAAACTTAAAATAAGCAATCAGACTGAAAACTACTTTTTTAGTGATCCTGGATTGAAACAGCCCAAATCTTTGTATACGCCAGGACCAACTCCTGAGTTCTTTCTAGTCCCTAAACTGTAAGCTAAATCTAGTAAGGTGAACATGTTCATTATATGAATATGCAATATAGTCCCCCATATTTTGTCACAAAAATATTTTCTTAGAACACATAATTTCTCATGTGCACTGATCATACAAGTAGGCCTATAATTTTATTATATATAATATACATATACGGTGCATCAGCAGATTTTAATTTACTGTTTTATCTGTGGTGCATATAAAATGAAGTTGGTTTTATCAGACTGTTCATCTTTAACAAAATGATATTTTTATAAACATATGGATGCTTTGTTTATCTCAATTTTTACTAGCTCATATGCATGGAGGAATGATAATGATTGATAATTACGGACAACATGTTGGTTTTACGAAGATTATTTTTTCTTTTTCTACAAATTGTTGTTAAAATATTATGTGAAGTGAATGCGTTCTTGTTTTCCTAAATTAAATAAATAATCCTGTTGTGACAGCATTGTTTGTTTTAATTATGTATCTATTTAATTTTAAGCTACATGTTGAATTATATGCATATGTTTTTCAAACAGAAAGTGGTGAAACTGATTAAGAGTCAAAACATCAATTTTTATAAACAATTTCCTTTTTAACCACTAATAATAATAATAAATGTGAAATGCATGGTGCTGTTATCTGAAGAGCACACACATTAAGAGTGATATAAAATGGCTTTCCGTTTTGAAACTTGAAACATAGTCAACCTTATTATTTAAAACTTCATTTAAGTTCATTCAATCCTAAGGATGCAAATAACTTCTAGTTACTACTCACCCTTGGTTTGACTTCCAGTAGCATATCATTAGCATCTTCAGCAAAGTCTATCCTGCAGGACTCAGTCAGGTCGTGATATGCTGTCTCCCAGTTACCCAAGAGTCTGATAAAAAGTGAAATTAATTTTACTTTCAAATTCGAATTTCAATTTCATTTCCAAGGCATTTATTATCATTTTCTTGCATAAACTTCACAATGATAATCAAAAATGAGTAACGTCAAACATGAGACACTTAATCATAACTCATTTTTTTCTTAATTCAAAAAGATTATAAAGAATAAGGAACATTAAACAGATTGTTATAACAATCTATATCACTTTTTTTTAAAGTAATTTTTGTAATTCTAACTTTTACTTGCTTGCATGTTAACATTTGATCAGAATTCTTTTCAGCCAGAGAAAATTGAGTTTGACGTTAGAAAACAATGTTATTCATTCAAATACATTTCCACAAACTTTTTCACAGTACCTGTGTGCTTTTCCCCTCCACTTCAAGGCAGCAGCAGAGTCTGGGTTCATAGAAAGCACATGGTCGCAATCCCTGATGGCTGCATTGGGTTTTTGCATGCGGACAAAACAGCTGAAATTGCAAATATTAAAATAATTGTTTGTGGGAAGGAAGACGTAACCAAATGCTGCATTGTTGCTGTTGAGGTTCTTTAACATTAAACTGCTCATCATCTGTTTATTTGCATAAGTTAATCTGTTTAAAGCTACACAGCGCATGTTAGCCTTCACCCCGCTGAAATAAAAAGGGATCTTGGAAGTTTTGTGTTATTTTTCTTCGATTTATTTGGGCAAGCAAAAGTGGATGGGGGCAACCAAAAAAATTAAAATGGTTGTCCGATGGGACAACCACTCCAAAAAGCTTATTTCACAGACTGCTAGTTTTTCTTCAAATGCAGCATCACATTACATCCAATAATTTTCTTCATCACATAAATATCAAAATCTTACCAAGCTCTTTTGGTATACAACATGGTGAGGTGGGGGTTGTTTTTGATTGCCTCCGTGAAAAGTGCCACAGCCTCCTCCAGTTTTCCATCATTCATCAACTCCATGGCCTCCATTTTCTTTTGGTCAGCAAGGTCACTCATTTCATCAGTCACCTGGTAAATGAAAAAAAAATCAACATAATGTGAGTTTCACAAGTTGGCTTCTTTGTTTTCCAGTGTCCATAGATGTGGAGGCTGAACTTCTTAGCCATATGACTGAAGTTTACCTTCCAAATTACACAAGTTAGATGGGTATCATATTTAATACAAAGCATGTCCTTATATAGAACCCAAAAATCCTTATGATTGGACGTACATCTTTGATAGGCAAGATAAACTTCAGTCAAAACTTGCCAATGAATACCAATGCCCAATAAAAGCACACTTTTGGTTTTAACATAAAGGAACTGACAAGAATCTGAAAGGAAGCTTAAGGTGACAGAATGGGATATAGTACACCAATTCGCAAGTATATTATATTCTATATACACCAGGTACATATCACATCATAAAATAATCATTTTTTCATTAAATTGAATATTAAATTGCAAAATAAATAAACAGAACTTTACAATTCCTTTTGTTTCAGCCTCAGGTAATCCATTTTATCACTGTACAGAAAATCATACTACTATAGTATTCTGTTGGCCTTATATAAGCACACAGCCAGTGCTGTGAATCTTACCTCCAAAGAAGCATCTCCCATATCTGCAGCAGCATCTGTGTCCCCTTCTATCACTCCCTCCATGTCAATATCTGGAAATACACATGAAAATCCATATTAGAATAATTAAAGAGTCAATGGGCAAGATACTGAAACAATGAATCTTTCATATGTATGGTAGTTTTAAACTTTCTCCCTCATACCGTCTCGTACTTATATTTAAAAAAAATGTAATATCTTCATTAACCAACAAAAATGCTTCCTCTGACAGGAAGCCAACCAACTTTGCAAAACTAATAAATCAATTTTAAGTATTAGGAATGAAGTGTTGCTTTGAGGATTATTATTAATTCTGTTCTAATACTCATTATGAATTTCAACATTTTTCATCATACATGACTCATCATTTACATATTATTATATAAAAAGTGTAGAGAATGTCCTCAAATATTCAGAGGACATAAATTCAGATCACCCATTCCAAAAACTTTCTGATGACTTCGTCAACCATCCTGTCACCTCAAGGTCACTCACCAAGGTCACTCTCTGGGCTTTCTGGTTCTGGTTCTGGCTGTGGTGGTGGTGGTTCTGGTTTGGACTCTGCTTTCTAAAATGGAGATATAATTTTAGTTCTAAAAAACTGCAGATCACTGAGATTACAGACTTCTGTGAAGGCAAAACATGAATTTTTAAAAACAATGAAAAATATCTTGTGGGGTCTGTTAACTTTTAAATGTGAGAAAAAGTATTTTGAATAGATTCCCCTTATTTTCAATAACAAAAAGCACAGTTACTGCATTAATTTACTGTTCTACTTCCAAAATTTGATTTGCTGCTCACTCATAGTTGCTCATACTTACAGGTTTGGGTTCTGGTTCTGAAGGCTTTGGAGGGTCAGGCACTTTTGCACCCATACTGAAAAGAAGTGCAATTTACACAATCATAAACCTTTATAATACAATACCCTATATAATTAAGTAAAACTATTAATTTTATTACTTTATCACCATTTAAAAATGTTAAATAACTTTTCACAATATCATCAAAATTACTATATCATAATAAATATAATCTATATCAATATCCATCACTTGTTTTCATCAAAGATTCCATAAATGTCTTTAGTACTCATTTTGGCCACAAAGGAAGAATTGCATACAAATGAGGAAGATAAACCCTTATTTAGTAAAAGCACTTTTTCAAATGCAAGAAAAATTCTGAAATACCTTGAAGGATATGAATTGTTTCAACTGTATTTGAAAAATCAGCCACACCAATGTAAAAAAAATTATTTTACACCCTCATTTAGACACTAGTACAGTACACATGTATATGTATTCTACATGTGAACCATATATCATATACCTTTCTATCCACTGCTTATAAAATGACAGTTCTGGGAGGTGCAGTATTTCTGGTTTAGCTTTGCATAATTTAACAAACTCCTGAAGAAGAGTCAACTGCTCCTTGTTGACACTCATTTTCACCTAGAAAGATATGTCAAACCATTCAGGGGTTTGCCACCACTGCAGAGTTAGATTAATTATATAACCATTTTTTTTTTTACATTTACTACTCTTTTACTCTAAATTTCCCACAGTAATACCCCTGTAAGGGCTGAAATTGCTCCCCTGGTAAAAAATTTTATTTTCACACAAAGTGAGACTGAAAACAAAAACAAAAAAAAAAAAAAATATATATATATATATATATCGGAGAATAAAGTCAATACACCATGAAAAAGTGCTCCACCCATGGTGGCGGCCCGTGGGGAGCTAGTATATATAATCAAGGATATGAATAAATTAGACTTATCTCTCCATTTTATTAAAAAATGCCCTATGGCCGTTTTTTTTTTTTTTTTTTTGTTTTTTGTTTTTCTACTTTTCATAGAAGTTGTTTTGCAAAATGAAAACAATTGATCTTAAATTGTATACAGTGGTTATGCATCTTGAACTGGTCTGCTAATAACTTGGCGATGTAACATAACTGCTGAAATATGAAAATAATTGATCTTAAATTGTATACAGTGGTTATGCATCTTGAACTGGTCTGCTAATAACTTGGCGATGTAACATAACTGCTGAAATATTTTTTCTTTTGCGCAACATCACTATGTGGTTTGGTGTATAAACCATGGCTTTCTTGGTACCAGCTTTTCGCTTTTTTTTGTCTACATTCAGAATAGAAAAACTGCATGAAAATATCTATATTTAAATATTTTTATAAAAAGTTATGGGAATGTGAATGAAGTTGGTGGTGGAGGAAGGGACACAGAGGATGGGACATGGTTACTTAGAACCTTGCAGTGCACTCACTATGATACATGTATTTATAATACTGCTGTGAAAGCAATGATATTTCCAAGATTTCACCATCAGTACCGTCCTTACATGACATCTATCTCTGAGTCCTACACATCACATCTGGTGTGATTACTCTCGAACAGAACCAGCAATCTAACTAAAACCGTGTTCCCATAATTCCAGCTAAATTGCATTCAGTTTAAGTGTCCAGAATGTCTGGCATGCCTACTGAAGCTGCTAGGGGTATTTAACTTTCATGTGTGCTCAGCTTAGCAGCTTCAGCTTCATGCTTTCACTATAGATGCTGTGACAAGTGGTTTCAGTTTAATGATGTTTTTTTCTAAGGAAACCCATATGGCAGTTAAATTTACCCTATGTAACACAAATTAGACCATCATAAAGTCACGTGGTCTTTTCAGCACAGCAACTGAAAGAGGCAATACTCATTTCTGTGAGCACGCATTTGTCTCATAGTATTACAAAATTATGACCAAAGAAGAAAAATTTGATTTTATTTTAGTTCTGCACAGGCTCTTTGAATATTTATTTTGTTTACTATCAGGTATTATATACTCTATTCTCTATAAAAGGATAACATCATTTACAAATAGTAAATATCCATTTTTAACTAGTAAATTTACTGCACTCAGTACCACATATTTTCAGTTTTAATTCTTAGATTTTCTTACTTGTGTATTTTAAGCAAACAAATTTTTTGCTAGATCACGAAGAGGCGATCAGTCTTTAAAAAAACAAATAACCTACAAAGGTATTTGTAAATCATTGTACAAAATTTAGAGTATTGCTGCAGCTTGTGCCAGTGTCAGGTTTAAATTGCTGAAGATTTCCACTTTCAATTTAATGTCGCTTATCCTTTGTAAATTCAACAGCAACAGTTGAAGTGCTCTGTCTCATTCGGCTAAATATTTAAAGTGAAATAACGGGGCCGTAGCAATAGTCCGAAGGTTCATTGGTCCGAATGTTCACTACAGAACCTTCGGACCAATGAACCCTTGATTAAAAAACCGATAAAAATGTTACCGTTTTTCGGACCAATGAACCTTCGGACCAATGAACCTTCGGACTATCGAGACGCCCCCGAAATAACAAGGATCAATATATTGTAACCACTGCTTACTGTCATCGAAGTGATTAGGATAAAAACTGAAATACTTTCTACGCTTTGGCTGTTTTCATTCAATGATTCGCTCAACAAAAGAATTTAGTGTTAAATCTTTGTAGTAACATATGCATTTACATATCCCAAAGCAAAAGTTGCACCATTACTACATGTGACTCGAAATATCAAATTCCAAAGATAATGTCAGTCAAATATACCTAATTGGGTGGCACTCAGATATAAGAGAATACCCTGCCGGTAAAAGCACGTTGCTGCTGTCTGCTTCACTAGAAACTTCCAGGTGGGGTAACCTGAAGGTCACGAGGTTTCGCGCGATTGACCTAGTTATGTTCACACGTTTTTAATCGTGTGCGTCTCGTCTGTACTACTTTTAATGCTTGTGTTATTCTGAATAATAAAAAATAAACTCTGTTAAATGTAAATATATCTTTAAAGTACATACAATACCCTTTAAATTACATTACTGTGAGCAAGCATTTTCACGAGGCCAAACGAGACTGACCTAGTTCAGAGGAAAATAACATCAAAACAAAAATGGCCTTATCCGTGAGAGGTTCCACGCTTAAAACTTTATGGAAGCTAAATGGTATGTCTGTGTTTATTAGTATTGACACATTGTGTTTATTTTGTTACATTGTTTTCGAAGATATGTAATTCCTCACGGTCTTTTTCTTGCTTGCTCACGCGCAGGCGAAAACTTTGGGCCTCAATATATTTTAAAGACATAAGCCTAATCAGTGATTATAGTCATTGTATGTACCACTACATGTAAGTAAACCTCTAAAGATTTAGTTTAACTCTGCCATTAATTTCACTGTTTGTTCTTTAGGATTTCTAAAGACATTCCCAGCTTGCAGCATTGCTGTGCGATTATTCGGTCAGCCAGCCCCTCAAACACACCCTCATCTTTTAAATACTGGGGAGGTCACTCCTGGAATCTCAAAAGAGGAATTTGAATTCAGGAGGAACAAACTGGCCAATATTATATCAGCTCATGATGCAGCTTCAACAAGAGGAGACGAATCAAAGAACCATCTTGTTATCATCCCAGGGGCACCTGTGACTTACATGAGTACTGATGTCCCCTATGTCTTCAGGCAGAATACAGATTTGTTATACCTCACTGGATTTCAGGAGCCAAACAGCGTACTGGTTCTTGAAGTTGGGAGGGAAAACAAAAAACCTGTGTACACATCGTTTCTTTTTGTACCCAAGAAAGATGAAAAGAGAGAGTTGTGGGAGGGGTTGAGATCTGGAGTAGAAAATGCTCCAAAATTAACAGGAATTGAAAATTGTCAAAATATCGATGACCTAGAAAAGTATTTGGAAAGTTATCTGAGACGCAATAGAATATTCACACTATGGTGTGACTATGCACGGCCTGTGAACAGGGAACTGCATGATGGTGTAATATCTAAATTTATTCAACAACAAAGACATTTAAATATCTATAATCCCATTAGGAGGGTACAGGGAATTAGGATAAAGAAATCTGAGGCTGAAATTAGGCTGGTGAAACAGAGTACAAAGATTGGTGCTCAGGCTTTGACAGAGGTGATGAAGTATTCGTATCCTGGGGTGAGTGTTTGGAATTGTGCTGTTCCACATCTTAAATGCATTGACAGAGGTTAAGTGAGGACATTTTAAATTTTGTAATATTTTTATTTGTGGGTTTTCATTGGATGAGGATAAATTTATGAAAAAAGTCAAAGATTCTTTTTGTCATGTAGCAACCTGATGACATTCGCTATATGGCAATTTTCTATTTAAAAAAAGAAACCATTAAGAAACCTCAAAATTATACACTGCACACCCCATACGTTTTTGTTATCTGCTGACTTTCATATCTGCTAGAAATCTTAAAACTCTCTCTCTCTCTCTCTCTCTCTCTCTCTCTCAGCACTTGATTATTCTGCAAGTTATGGAACTGCATGTTAAATTCTTTTCCAAACATATTTAATTTATTCTTACATTTGTTTTATGTTTTTGGGGAAATTCCACTAAAGATACTTAAAATAAAGCTATGAAGCATAAGTCAAATTTTATTATAGGTTTATTGTTTATGTTTCAGGTCAATGAAGCACACCTATATGCCAAAATGGATTTTGAATGTCGTGTACGAGGGGCTGAAATGTTAGCTTATCCTCCAGTAGTAGCAGGTAATGCCTACCCCCACCACACACAAACCATACAGTTGTAACTATTAATGTATTGATTGTGTATGCAAACTTAGCCCTCACAAAAGAGTCGAATTTTGTAAATTTAAGGTCTATTGGAAATCTTGTACATATAAACATACGCATTTTGTTTTTACTTGCATCATTTTCTAGAGTAGACCTAACATGCATTTAACTTGCTTCCACTAGTAATGCAAGATTGTACTGTAAATACAATTTAAAACTACTAAAAACCATACTTAGATTTTAACAAATGTGCATTATCCTATGAAAATGGCAGTTTGCAAAATGCATAATGCTAGCACCTTAATTTAACTACTGTCCATTACTTTCTTATAGCTGATCTAATTTGGACATACATGTTATGTATCTTTGTTTTTCCAGGTGGTAATCGTGCCAACACTATCCACTACATAAGTAACAACCAGCTCGTCCATGATTCAGAGCTAGTATTAATGGACGCTGGATGTGAATGTCATGGCTATGTCAGTGATGTTACTAGGACATGGCCAGTCTCAGGTATGTGAATGTCATGTGTGTGTCAGTATTTAAATAAAATAAAATAAAATAGAATTTCTGAAGTAGTTGGATGTCATAGGTTTGTCATGGATATCACAATATTTCCATAACACGACCAGTCTCAGGTAGATACATATTAAAGGTGTTAATTATTGACAGGTTTGCTTGGGTTCTTGTAAATAAAAATAAGTCAGTGATATTATGATAATATAGTCAGTTTTAAGTTCCACTGTTTCCTTTGATTGTATGTAAATTCTTTATTCACAAAAAAAAAAAAAAAAAGAGAGAGAGAGAGAGAGAAAGAAAGAGATGTATTCATAAGATCTTATATGATTTATTTACATAGCAGAGAATATGCCCATGACAACATATAACTTTTTACCATAGGGAAATTTACTGAAGCTCAAAGAGAAGTGTATGAAGCAGTGCTGAGAGTCCAGAAGCAGTGCATCCAGTGCTGTGTGGCCAAAAGCTCCCTGGATTCAATATTTCAGTACATGCTGAAGCAAATAGGACTAGAGTGTCAGAAACTTGGAATATTACCCAGACACTTGTATGGAGCTGAGTTGTCAAATGTGAGTCAGGGCTTACTTGGGTGTGACTTTATTCTTGTCAAATTCCATATTATATAAAAGTAAAAAAAAAATTACTCCACAGTGTCAGAATGCTGCATTAAAAATTTTAAGGGGTACTTATGAAGAGCTAAAAGTGCTGCACATAAATAGAGATCTCGATCAGTTTATATTTGTTCATTGTAACATGTACTGATGGAAAACATGCACAGACATTATCCAGGTTTTTGGACACGGGAAGATGATGGACAGGGAGGGGGTCACACAAGTACTATTAAACATGTAACTAGATATCTGTAATGTAAAAAAATTATCTACCAATTTATATCAAATCTTTCTCATTTCATACTCTGGTCATTTTGTTTCTAATGAAAAATGATTACATTTTGGTATTTGTTTAAACTTTTAAAAATGATTTCTTTTAAATTTACCCACCAGCAAGCCAGAATGATTTGTCCGCATCATATCGGACATTATCTTGGAATGGACGTCCATGACACCAGCCTGATGTCCTGTAGCCTTGACCTTGAACCTGGAATGGTGGTCACCATAGAACCTGGTAAGAAAATTGGTTGCTGCTTTGATCACAACTTCTGCTTGTACACAGTTTACTCTAAGCTAAAAAAAATGACAAAATGAAAATTGTGTAGAACCGCAGTCAGAAGATAGCATGGTAAAGATTTTTTGTCAAGCAGTGAATTTTCGTCAATTTTTGGTCAAAATGCAAAAAACAAAAATTGCTATCAATGCATGAACAAGACCAAAGACATGTTTTTTCTGGTAAATAACAGCAAATTTACTCTTACTAAAAGATGTTCTCATTTTCTATTCATTAGCAAGATGTCATAGATCCTTTTTTCATGGGTATTTTTTTTTCTTTTTTTTAAGCAGAGTATGTTTATAGACAGTTTCCACCAGGTAACTGTGACTTTGTACATGTGTGCTAACATTTTACAGGTATTTATCTCCCAGAAAATAATCTGAGTATACCAGAGAAATACCGAGGAATGGGTGTGAGGATCGAGGATGATGTCCTCATAACATCTCATGGTCCAGAGGTACTGACAAGTCTCTGTCCAAAAGAGCCAGACGATATCGAAGCTTTGTTAAAATCGAGATAGATGGCATTATAAGGAATAATGTCTTAAATTTTGTTCCATTTAGTTATTTATTTGTTTCTTTCTTTCTTTTATTATTTTTATGAAAATGAGATGTCAGATTGTTGATATTGAAAAAAAATAAGAAGAAATCAAAACAGACAGCTTTGATATTTTTATACATAATATGGTAATTGCCATGTTTTTCAATGGTCAGGAGATAAGAACTGGGTATGAAAGACACATTACTTCTCACAGTTATAGTATTATGATGAAGACCTGTTCATTTGAAAGAACCAGATTATACAAAAATCAATGTGTTAAAGTATAGATACTTGTTTTTGAAGTTTATGTTAAAAGATATTGCCTTATCCAATACAGGACTTAGAGAAGAATCAGATATGCAGTTTTGTTAAGTTTCACTGCTTGAAGGTATCAAAACAAACACAGTTTGTGTGCTGATTTTTTTAGCTCATAACCCAAAGCAGAAACTGATACTGACAATATTATTTTACTGGCTTATCTCCACTATTACTGGCATTTGGCCTTGGGCACTTAGTCTTTAGAATGTAATTTGCAGACACTCTTAATGTCTTGGCTTAGTTAAAATCAGTATAGATGACGCACATTATATGTTTGCAGTAGGATGGACTATTTTTGTATGTTTTAGATATTTATATTATAAGATAATTGGATGGACTAACATTATACTAGATGTATATTAGGGACAATCTCATTACCTCTGTGTATTCTCTTAGAACAAGTTATTAAAGCAAGACTTAAAAATAATTTGGGTGAGCATTTCTTAAAAAGTATTTCAAATCTTCATTAATTTTTAACTTCTTTTAGTAAGCCCTTAATGGTAAAAGAATGGCAAATATTTTCTTTTGCATGGTTATAAACAAAATTGTTTATTGAAAAAATGTGCTGGATGGAAAAAAGATGAAGTAATTTTTGGTCATCATGGAGAAAATGTTGCTCAAATGTTTTAACCAGTAATTATATAAAATTAGAAAAAAATAAAGGAGGTCTTACATTGGGGCATTGCAGTAAATTGTTTTGACTCTTATAATTTGTTAATATTTCATTTTATTTTAATGCTTCCCTTTGAAGAAGTATTTTGGATATAATATCAAATTTATCAATAGAAATATTGTTCAACTCCGAACGAGCGGGAGTCTTAGTCTGGAGAAAGGGTTCTGTAGTGTAGTAGTTATCACATTTGCTTCACACGCCGAAGGTCCCAGGATCGAAACCTGGTAGAACCAGTATTTTGGACATTTATATCACATTTAACATTAGAAATATCGTTGAGTTCGGAACGAGACGGGGAAATGGGTGGTCTGAAGGGGTTCTGTAGTGTAGTGGTAATCACGTCTGCTTTACACGCAGAAGGTCCCAGGTTCGAAACCTGGCAGAACCAGCGTTTTTCTTTTAGACTTTTGACAATGCCTCTTGTGAAAAATTGTGTTGCTCAGTCTCGAACGCTCTGTCAGTTTGTCCAGAAAAAGTTTTGTGGTGTAGTGGTGCTCATAGCTCTTCACACGTTGGAGGTCTCACGTTTGAAGTCTGTCAAAGCCGCTGCAAACTCACCATCTTTTGCACACGCGGTTTGAAAATGATCCTTTTTCATGCTTTCTATGCCTGAATATCCTGCAAAGCTACAAGTACAAATGTTTCCCATTTTAGACCTTAAATACAATAAAATGGTAAAAAACCCTAAAATGGACGTACCTAATGGGAGGGGTAACTGGAAGGCAAAACGGTCTATACGTCTACACATATATTTAGAACTAAATTATTCAATAAGATATGATATAAAACATCAAACTAAGAACGGGACGAGTCGAACAATGTTTCATGATCAGGAAAAATTAATCTCAATAACTATCTTTCTCGAGAAAAAAACTTGATTTTGCGCAAAAATCCCGCATTGGATACCTATTAAAAGTGTTGAACTTCAGGGCTCTGAAGAGTACGGTTAACACGAACTAAATAAGATTTTATATAATTAATTAGAAAATCAAAGTTCATAATTGCGACGTTGTCAAGAAGGCTGTCTTTGAAATAAGAAGTCCAATACCTTAATTGCAAGAAAATAATTTTATAAGCATAATTTTAAGTAATTCAGAGCAATAAATTAGAATAACTCAAAGATCAAAGGCCAATATACCAGTGTTCGGGACTCGTGCAATTGTTGAGAAACATATAGCAGACGTCTCAAACTTGCTCAGTACTTCGGCATCGGTGATACCAAAATAGTCTTGGAAAGGTTGAAGGAGCTTCCCAGAGCCATGAAAGCTGTACATGTCAGCCTTTGCGAGTAGCTGGTAACGACCTCGGGCGCCATATGGGGTGATTCAAGTAAGATGTCTTCTCTTGAAGCCACCCGAAGATTATTTTTTATTTTTACCATTGTCCGCTCGGGGGCGTGTGTATTCAAATTTTGCCCAGAATCTTCATTTTTACTCAAGTTGCAGTTGTCTGTGCTCGTGGTTTTCAATGGCACAAAACTCTTTGTCTAAATGAAAAAAAGTACATTAAAGAATAGAGATGTGAACCTGTGTAAAGCTAAATTCATTATTATTCACAAAAAAATGAATTATTTGCGTAGTTGTTATGGTATGGCTCATTAAAGGAATTAAAACGAATACGCTGCACGGGAAATAAATAAAACAACAAAATAGTAAAAAAATGCAATCCTTTACAGTGCAACCTGGAAAATTTGGAGTATCAGTGTCGAGAACTTTTACCATCTCCCTCAAGTAGCGCTCTAACACAAGAAAATGTCATTAAAATGCGTCATCTGTCTTTCTAAATATAAAAATCATCGAAGAGCAAAAGTACCTGATTTATTAGAATTTTCATCTCCGTCTCACATTTTCCCTTCTTTGTCGCTTTCTTCTTCTGTTTTCTCCCCCACAATATTATTAAAACATTTCATGAGATAGGTGCCCTGTCATTTGCAACATAAATGTTCAAAAGTGATGACAAATATTGAAGTATGAAAAGCCTTTCTTAAAATCGAAAGATAATACGAAAGTGACTTCGTCTAACTGAAAAGCTTTTTGGGCGACAGGTGCGGTTATGTGTAAAAATTGCGCCCGCCTCACTCAATAATTTCTGTACCCAAAACAACTTTCAAAACAATTTGCTGTCAGTTAACAATTGCAGACATTTTTTTTTCCTTTTGCATAATCAAGTCAGGTTAAGCTGTCATTTTTAAAGAGGAACCGGCCTATTTATTTCAGTATAACAGAAAAAAGAAACATATGATAGATAGAAAAGCAGCCCCCCTCAGAAAATAATGGATTAACCTGCAAGCAAATTTTTAAAAAGTTGTAGATAACAAGAAACTCATGTAGGCATTTATTGGGCCATTCATAATAGATGATCCTAGTACTAACTGATCTGCCGACTAAATATGGCCGACCACACTTCAAACGTGATGCTGCTATTTCCATGATGGTCTCCCCGCCTCCATACGCGCCGTCGCTGCAGGGGCCCAGCAATTAAACCTCGGATCCGAGATTTAATCCGTTTACTGAAGCCTGTGAATGCGGGGAGACCATCGGGAATCAGCGGCATCCCTTTTGAAGTGTGGTCGGCCATATTTAGTCGGCGGATCAGTTAGCACTCGGATCATCTATTTTGAATGGCCCTTTTATAAATGTTGTAGAAGGCACTGTCAATCTTTCTATACAGTTAAACATTTTTACTATCTTTGAATGGTATCAGGTATGCGAGGTATAATTCTATATATAGTATATTTAGCCTATTTCAAGTGTGACTGTTGCCGTTGAAGACAGAATGTTTTTATGATGTCGCTTGCAGTGACATGTAGTGTCATCTTCAAGCGTTACGTTATCTGGAGAGAGAGAGAGAGAGAAAGAGAGAGAGAGAGAGAGAGATTACTTTCCTATTTTATTTTATTTATTTATTTATTTATTTATTTATTTATTATTATTATTATTACTTTTTTTTTTGATAAATGAGATATATGGAAAAGGATAACCTGTTTGCTCACACCGTGCAAACACCTTGACCAGGCAGTTTCCTAAGGCAAGCTATTATAAACAGGGCGGTAGGCTGAGAAAAAAAGCTTGGAGGCAGCTGGTGAAGCCCTGTAAGCAGGTTATTTGTGCCGCGTGTGGTACTCTTCAATACCCTGATTGAAGGAAAATGAATAAGCTTTTAATAGACAAGGAGAAAGGGTAACACTTGAAAGCACCCATCAAAATAAATAAATAAATAAATTTCTTCTGGCGACCTCCGGCCCAGCTATAGTCAAATGATAAAAATTCAGTATATGAATATTTTTTTAATTATCGGTAAAATACTTGAAGAATCCATCTATTTTATTCTAAAACCCATTTAACAACGTGTAAAAAATTTTGCTGGCAATGGTAAATGACAAGACATGTATCCATAGGCCCTAACGTTATCTACTAGTAATATAAGTCACCGTTTATTAGACAAATTGATTCTTATCGTGTTTCACCAGAAGGAACAAAGTCAAAAGTTCGCTTTTTTATAGTCAAGTCATTGCTGTGACCCAATTTTTTTTTATTTAGCATTCTCTAAATGTCATGACATCATATATGCTCCACCTTAGTCCTAGATAATGACACCAACTTAGACCAGGCTCACAGACCTACTTGGTTAACCAAACTACTACTATCAACTGCTTTGTCCAACAACAGAAGAGTCCTACTTTTTGACCCAGATTATTGATCGGCTGTTATTTTTTGGGCGAAGTGCAATCAGTGATCTGCACATAAGGTCCTATAGACAACCACTCAAACAGGCCCACGTCGAGCACGGCCGCAGTGACATTAACTCGAGTACAGGTTGACAGCCTCAGACGCGAGCAGGGACTGGAGAGCGAGGACGATGAGTGTCATCGATTCTCTTCGAGATGCTCAATTGCAGCCTGTTGGCGGCGGAGAGGTGAATAATAATGTTCAGTATACATAATATAATCTCTGTAGGTGCAGTTGATAATAATATGTAGCTAAAATTATGGCTATTGACAGTAGGCACACTACAGCGTGTCACAATGAGAGTTCTCTTCAAAAACAACATCTAGCAAAACTTGTGCTTATTTTAATATTAAAATACGACTCCAATATTTTTGTGTCAACCAAGAAACCTTCATCAGGGAATGAGGTCACTGGTGTTTTATCTGGTCTCTTGGTGGACTCTAAAAATAGCTGATTGTATTCTTTGTTGGGTTTTACTTTTTACAGCTTTTAAAGCCGCGTTTAGATTGTGGTAAGAAAACATATAATACAGTGGATACAGCAAGAGTAAGCAAGGTTAATGTTATTCAACAATATTTACAAATGTGCAAAGTGCCCAAGAGCTATGCGTTGTATTTTTGCACTGCGTACATTATATTGCATGCCATGACTTGCACTTTGTACGTTATGAGGACGCTAAATTCACTATATTATTTTTATTTTCATAAGTACACGGAGTTATCAATATATATGCATCTGTATTTGAATTTGTTGATTTGTTTACTGAATAAGGTTAACATGTAGTCATATTTACGAATTTCCTCACCGATTGGCACATTATTTATTCTATTTGTGATTATGTACTCAACTTATCTTCTGAACTTATGCACAGAGACGATTATCGTCAAAAAAGTTTCCATGATGCAGATTTTGATGGCGCTTTCGCCATTCGATTTTAATATGTATTATCTTATTTTTCACTACAAATCATCTAACAATGCATAATACATATGGTGACTACACGTATCAACCTTTTTATCATGATGATAATAAAAGACACGCCCCTATGCCTCAAATAAACCCAGATAAGCAGCCAAATATGCAATCTATACACTGGACCTAATTCTGAAAACGATTTTGTGGCGTTGTGCTATTACCCTGTACGCCTACGCGGATTCCAAATTTAAGAAAGAATGGGCGAGATGCTTATTATCAAACATTAAAAGATTGTTCATTTCTCATTAACTGTTACTTTTTTTTTCATATTTAGACCATTACATATTCCAAACTGTGGGAAACGCAGATATGTTTGATATACTTCGTCCGATACTGGGGATGAATAACGTGCCGGCACTATCTCAAACTACTGACCAAGCTCAAGCCGAAGCTGGACGCTCACGGTGTCCGCACGGTGGCCATTGGTTATGAAGAGATAGGGCTGGACAATTTTCAGGAGGGGAACTTTTTCGGGGGAGGTAAGAGATAAGAAGCTGAACAATCACCTAACAATAAATATGGAAGGTGACAATACTAACGATAAAGTTTCGAATCTTTGCGGAAAGTTGTCTTTGCTCGTCCATTGCAGTTTACGGACACGGGCGACAGTACGCTTAATTCAAATTTTATGGTCTTTTTGCATCACCAAGTCAAAACTGTTGATAAAATTACGATCTATGAACCAATTTTCAGTTCCAAATTTTTTTAGCCACTTTCGTAATAGACGTGGAGACTGGCGGGTTTCACTCATATGGTAAAATAGAAATTTAGAACTCGAAACTTTCGAGATCGTCCTTTTTTCAATAATTTTGGATAGGATGAACCTTGATTGTTAAATGAAAATGGTTGCAAATGACATGATTAATAATGTATGTTGTTATGATGAAGTGTACATTGTATAACACCAACCGTCTATGCCTTTAAACCCGTTAAATACATGATACAAGGATCGCGTTTGTTGCTCTGAAACTCCTCACCGAGATGCACATGTGAATCTGTACCATTTCTTTAGAAAAGTATTCATGTCAGACAATCAAAGTTTACTTATTGCTGATGTTGTTAACACGAATATCGTTTCATTTTCAGAACTTTTTATAGACTATGGGAAAACTGCACATAGCACCTTGGGGTTCACAAGGTATGTGGAAAGGCTTATATTTTCGTAGGCGTTGTGTCGTAACTAGGCGCTCTTCATGAGGTCTTTTTTAATTCGTCATGAGTCACTGCTTAATTATTTAAGGTAAAAGTTGTTACTTTTTTATATCAGAACTATATTTGTTAACACAAAGTTAACACAACCTACATGCGATTTGCGAAAAATTGACGTAAACGTTAACTCTAACATGAAACGGTCTTTACGGTTTTAGTTTAATTTACTTATAAGCTGATGTTTATTTTATTTTTTGACTAGATTGAATATGTTCACCGGTATATACACCATGCTCAAGTCTAAGATGTGGCAGGCAACGAACGAAGTATGTACATGTATATGCACATGAATGCACCGAGTACAAAATTTATCGTTATTACCCCCCCTCCTGCTTATTATTATTATTATTATTATTATTATTATTATTATTATTATTATTATTATTACTTTTAATGGTAACCACACCCTCTCCCTGGGTGAAATCTTGCTTCCTACGTGACTGTTTACATGGTTGTTTAATTGTAATAATGCCCCGCATTTGTTAACGTTTTAAGAATACGTCCATCATTACTTAGAAAACGATAGAGAAAATACTCACATTACGAAAAGCATGGGCTTTCCAAATTATATGTAAAAATAAGCAACAAAATGGAAACGAAAAATGTTTACTTCTCCCCGCAACCGTGAATCGATATAATCATATTTCAGTGCTTTGTACAGCATTATTTTTGCAATTTGTATGTTCCAGGCAAAGAAAGATGGTGTGGAAGGATTAACAATAGGAGACAGATTTCAAAATGGTGGGATGCTTGCAGTTAGTGCAGGTTGGTTACGTCTTTATTTCCCCACTGTAGAACCAACATTTTCACTTAATTTTCAAAACCTAGGATTGGTTCCTAGTCAAAACCAAACGAAGAAAATCATATCAAATAAAAAAATAGCATTGGGAAATATCATATCTCAAAATTTTGACATATGAGTTTTTATTTTTTATTTTCTCGAGAAGATCATGTTTTCGGTTCTTTACAAAAAAATATTCTCAAGTACAGCACTATCAAAGTAACTGAAAAGTAAATCATGGTGCAAGTTTACAACCGCTTTTCTGTAATTGCTATATGCAGCAATAAGTTGCGCATCTACTCTTAATTGCAGGCGGAAAAGATGTTCTATTAAAATACATCCAAAGTGGGCCCGAGGAACACATGTCATTTGAAGACGTTTTTAAAGCCCTTGGCATTGAGGACAGCGTGCCTGACGAAGCAATGGCGCCAGCCCCACAATGTGACACGGATGTGTGCAAATTGAAGTAAAGGAGGTCGAAATAGTGTGTTTAAACTTTGGATAAGGAAGAGAAAGATCAATATTAGAATATGACAAGGGCCATTTTTCGGGTTCAAGGATAAATCTAATTTTTTAAAATTTATTTTCCAAATATTGTGATATTGGAATGAATTGACGTTTTTGCGTATTTTCAAAAAAGCAAGATTTATTCACTTATCGTTATCACGTACGTACCGTGCAGCAAACCCACTGCTTATTATTTCAACAATCATATTAAGTGTATTTTACTGAAAAAGTCTTGTAGATGTGTATGGCTATTTATGCAATTCCCCAAGAGTACAAACTTTCTGTGTACTGTTCATCTTCATATGCGTAAAGAATGAGCCAAAAACTGTGCAACATACCTGCCATCTGCCGGGCAAGTGAATGAAGTCTGTGTGCACAATCTCCAACTGAGGAAGCATGCGGATGGATAAATGATTGTCCTTCATATGGCGCGTGGTTAACAGTTGCTATTTCATAATATATAAAAAAAATAATAATATAAAATACTTATGGAAACAAATGCAGTCTTTTGGTTTTCTTTTTTGTTTGTTTTTTTTTTTTTTTAAATTTTTATAAATGTTCTTCACCAGTAAAAGAAAAATCACGAAGACATTCAAACATATGCATGTTCTTCATTTATTTCGGTGGTTTTAAATATATATTTATTCACAAAATGTCTTCAACAAACAAGAAGTTCCCTTTAATTCCCTTTGTAGTTTCAAATAAAACAAATAAGTGACTACAGGGCTTTCATTTTTGAAGACTATTTTGGATAATTTTCCAAACTATAGTCACAAACAGGGAAACTTATGAATGCCCGACTTAAATATTGTAACAACTGAAATGGCGAAGCACCAGGAAGCATGCAGCACTTTCCCTTGGAAAAAAACAACATTTTCACAAAAGCACATCTGACCATTTGTCCATAATTAAATTCATTTCTACACAAAATTTAATGTAAAATCCAAAAGAACAAGCTTTTATTTAGGATCATAACGATGGAAAAATCTTTGGTTCTGTTAGCTTAGACCTCTTAAATCAGATAGCTGACTTTGTGATCATATTTGTATATCAAAATCTTTGACATAAATAAATGGGCTACTCTCACCCCTGAGAATAAAACCCTCATTAAAAGGATAATAACTTATTTAAGGGGCCAAGTTTTAAGTCCAAAAAGTCAAAGGAAGCAGCCTTTAAGGTTCTTAGTGAAATACTTCATCAGCTAAATCTAAGTAAAATCAAGATTTTGACTCAAAATGTGGTTCTTAAAGGAATTTTTTTCTAAGGCCAGATCACTTCTTCTTCAACTTAGTCTTGAATGGTCAATTTGGATGCTTCTTCAGCTGGTATTGCCTCATCATCTTTATCTTCTTTTTCAGTGTTGTCTTCTTCCTCAGACTCTTCGTCTTCTTCTTCCTCCTCCTCCTCAGAATCCTCATCTCCACCTCCACCACCATAGGATCCTCCTTAAAAAAAGAATATAATCAGTCTGTTGTGATTGTAAAGGTACAAAACACTTTATTAATGCAACATAATTCAGAATTTCATACACACATTAATAAAACACGAATAAATAAATGATTGTGGTTATTTGGTTCATTTTTGTTTACTTCTTTTGGAAGATTATACGTATTTATCTTCACAACAAAGAGATACTGCCTTTATAATAATCACACATTCACACACACACATTCAATTAGACATGCACATATTGGTATAAGCAAATCTGCTCTTAAAAAATTCAAGCAAGAAAATTCTTTCACAATATTGTCATACAGTTCTATCAAATTCTACCAACCATATCCGTAAAATCCGCCATATGCTCCTCCCTCATAATCGTCGTCCTCATCCTCGCCTCCATTGGCTATGCGACCAAAGTTGTAATTACGTGCTGAAATTAAAAATAAGCACATCTAAAGCATCTCAATATCATGTTATGGTTTTTCGTTCTTAATAGTTTTAAATAAACTTATATTAACAATCATCTGGTGCCATGTTATAAACTCATGGCTACTATTCAATGTTATGTCAAGTTAGGGCTGGCTTACTAAATTTATAAATAAAAACAAATCCGAATAACCAAGTGAATTTGTTGCCTTAAAGTGAACTTCTAATGCCACCTCCTGTAGCAAAGTGGATTAACATTTTATTCTGCAACTTCAATCAACAGTCCACTTAAGTTTATGTGAACTGCTGTCAAAGGGTCTGTTTCACTTAAAGTCTTATGTCAGCTACGGGGCTAAAATCTTAGCCTACAAGACCAATATCATAAAGTCAACTTTATGTAGATGGCATCAGAAACTTTTAACAGTCTAAAATTAGCCCAAGAAATAAAATAAGTTTTTGTGAAACAAGCCCAATGGTTATATATTATATGTAATACTTACTGGACATACTAAGCTCCCTTGTTTCTTGGGTCTCAAAGCCACACTTGGGGCAAGGTAGAGGTTGACCTTTGTTGTACTTGACACCTTTCCTTTTGACATGCTCATCACAGAAAGTGATCTATTAACAAATAAATAAATAAATAAATAAATAAATAAATAAATAAATAAATAAATAAATAAACAAACAAATAAAATCATAATAATAACAAATTAGTTTTTTTGCAAAGGTAATAAATTAACAAGTTTAAGCCATCAAAGAAATGTAAAGAAAAATGCAAAAATTATTTTCAATATCAATAAAATCATTTGTTTTAATATCACTTGCTGTGACACACAGTTTTACCTTACACCTAAGACAGGAGTACTGCCCTAGTTTGTTACAAGAGTTACACTTGTAAGAGTCGGACTCTATCTGCTGGCACATGGCCTGGTGCTCAAACTGGTCATCTTCACACATGAAATTATTGCAGTAACAGCACTGGAACATTCTACCACCTGTGATAAACAAATTATTATAATTATTGCGGAATTTTTCTTGGTCACAATAAAGCAAGTGCCATGACTAATTATTAGAAATAAATATGGACCCCGCTCCCCCCCAAAAAAGAGACACCACCACCAGTCTTATGCTTGACAAGCTCTATAAAATGCAATCAACAAAAATTCTCAAAATATGCAAAAAAATATATATAACCAAAAAGGGTACAATCAAAATTCAGTTCATCATAAAAAAGTAGGTCAAAAGTCAATTTTAAGGTCACAGTAAATTGCCAGTATGACTTCCTATTCAAGTTCAATAGTAACTATGGACCTATCTCTGCTAGTTTTGGAGATAAAAGGGAACAAAAATTTGCAAAGTTCAGTTCATGATGAAAAGTAGGTCAAAGGTCAATTTTAAGGTCACAGTAAATTGTCTCTAATGACTTTCTATTCAAATTCAATAGTAACTATGGGCGTATCTTTGCCAGTTTTGAAAGTATAAGCATTAAAAAAGTTGCAAAGTTCAGTTTAAGGAGTAAAGTAGGTCAAAGGTCAAGGTCACACTCAGACTGCCAGTATATGACTTCCTATTCAACTTCAATAGTAACTATGGACCTGTCTCTGCCAGGTATGGAGTTAAAAGGAAAATATATGACTTCCTATTCAAGTTCAATAGTAACTATGGACCTATCTCTGCCAGGTATGGAGTTAAAAGGGAAATAAATTAGCAGAGTTCAGTCCATGATAAAAAGTAGGTCAAAGGTCAATTTCAAGGTCACACTCAGATTGCCAGTATATGACTTCCTATTCAACTTTAATAGTAACTATTGACCTATTTCTGCCACTTTTGGAGATAAAAGGGAAAAAAAATTTGCAAAGTTCAGTTCATGGTGAAAATTAGGTTAAAGGTCAATTTCAAGGTCACATTTAGATTGCCAGTAAATGACTTCCTATTCAACTTAAATAATAACTATTGACCTATCTCTGCCAGTTTTGGAGATATAAGGGACTAAATGTTACAATTCCGAGTTACAATAATGTGCCACCACAATGTACTTTTTAATACAGCATAACACCAAAACTGTATGAAATACAAAAAAAATGGAGACCACCTTCAATGTAGGGCTTTACACGCTCTACAAAATGCAAAAAAGAATGGGTCTCTAGCATTAACGGTTCCCGAATTAGAGACAGTTTTCAGTTTCGGTATCTTATGGCCGCTACTCCTGTGAAAATGCACTGACTGACCCCAAATTCACGGAGATGAAAGATGATCCAAAGGGTAACACTTTCCAATAATATTATTGGTTAAGTCTGTGTAGTGTCTGAATAACAGCGCAAATAACTTATTTTTCGTAAAAAAATGTTGTTTTTTTGAAAAAGTCAAAGGTCAAATCCAAGGGCATATTTGAAATCTACACATATGACTTTTGGGTTCAAGTTGAGGTTATATGTGACCTAAATCCAAGAGATGGGGACAGGGGTCTATGCGGTCTAGGAGGAGAAGCGGTAACGGTGACTTGTATCCGGCTCCAGTACGCGGAGCCGGCGGAGCTGGACAAGACGGGTCAGGACTAAAACCATGAGTACCGCCAGCGTACATTCTGGTGGTACTAATAATAATAAAAGTAAAGTGTTACAGCTGGATAAGATATTACAAAACATCGAAAAGAACAAACTAAAAACTGAGCACATTCCCTTAGTTCCAATAAAGGCAGGTCCATAACTCATTAAACACAATGAAATAAATGAAGAACTTTGTTCACAACACATCAACAGGGTTAATGTAATACTCATAAAAATCTCTTACAAACAGGAAGGCAGGGAAAGGCAAATAGAGATTTTTTCAGAAAAGAGATTTAACTCAGTCACTCACACTTCCTTATTTACTCTCCACAGCGGCAGAAATGAAGCAGGATGGACATGAAACAATCATAACAGTGGTCCCAAGCTTAAGGCAGACAGCACTGGAAGTCTCAAGTGAAAGGCTTATGTGCGATCCCACAGGAAGAGGAATTAACTGTTAACCCACACTTAATGACTTACCTTGATCCCATACTCCACGTTTACACTCCTGACACACTGCATCTCGCAAGACGCATGTGCATGCATGTGTGGTGAGGCACTTTCTGCCGTGACACACCCAGCACTCGCAAAAATCACAGATAGCACCCTGAAATCAGAAGATTTCTTTCAAATTTGAACTGTTCTTGTATGAAGATAAATACGTGTGTTTACAGTCTTGTCAGATTGGATGCACTTTTTTCAACTTGTCTCACAAAAAAAACTTACCTCGAAAACTGGTTTACATGTTTAGATTGTTTCAAATTAAATCTATAGTACTCCGCATTGACAAAATATTGGTCTGGAGCATCAGTCATGCTATAAAACACAACATTTTTTCATTTAATTGGACTACTGTTGATTTTGCTTGTGTCAAAATAGACCTAAATTTTGCTTTTAAAATTTAGACCAATTTTCAGGCTCAAGTTCTTCTGTGAAATCACCCAAGGTAGTCGGATTATGATAAGTTCACTATAAGAGACTAACTTCAGGCACAAGATGCACTATAATGTATTGAACAACAGAGAGATTAGAACTAATCTTTGACACAGCCAGGGTGTGTTGCAATTAGTTGTACTGAAATGGAACAAACCATCTGTCTGAAAGGACATCCTGCATAAACTTGACTTAATATGGAGCAAGATGCAAATGGTGATTTACACTGATGCAAAAAATTAATGACTTCTGTAGCCAGTGGTAACTTACCACCATTCCAAGACCAGTTGTGAATTGTCCAGGATGTTTTACCACACAGTCTCCAGTCTTCATCATACATTTCTGCTTGCCTGAGAATATACAATGGACACAATATAAGACACAAAAAATATCAAATACTTCTCATCATTATAAACGCAATCATCACTAAACTTAAGTCAATATTAATGTTTATACACATACTCTTAGATGGCAGTACAAAATTTCAGAGGTTTCGATAAAAAGACATTTTGAACCAAGATGTGTTACATGTGACAGTTGTGATGAATTGTTTTATTTGTGGTTGGGGAGATAGTTTGTATTCAGTGTGCTACCCGGGTTGTATTTTGTTTGGTGTACTGGTCTAGATGGTGTGTGTTAGATGTCCCATGGATTGTGTTGGATGTGTTATTAAGATGCATTCCATTTGGTGCTGGTTGAGATAGATGCAATGCCTGCTGGCTGAGATTGAATGCTTTAAGACTCCTGGTTAAGAAGAATATTTTTAAGAAAAAGAGCATACCTGATCAGAATAAGAAATATAGTGTTAAGATAGTCTGTAAAGATGGGCAATGTTTCTAAGGCTGGTTGAGATGGGAGGGACGGGTCTAGAAAAAGCCTACGCCTGGTAGTCTTGTGAAGATAACGATGAAAACGGATGCCACCTTAGACATTTATCAGTCTGGAGCATATTTAGTCATGTTTTATAAGACTAAAATTTGGCCAAATGCAAAAGGTGATTAACATTGATATAAGAAGTTAAATAAACCCCCAGGTACGTGCTAAAAGAATAGGAGATGGAGCAAGCAGCAGAATTACTGAATACATACATACCACATTCTCCACAAATAGGCAGTCTCTGTAAAGCACTGCAAAAATAGCAAAATGCCCGATTTTTCTGAACTCTGAAACAGACGATTCACCACAATAAATTCATAGTCCTATTTCACAAAATTGACATATTTTTTCATTTCAAAAATAAGAATATGAAAGATATATGAGCTGTCCTTCTCTTTAACTTTTCTCGATCAAATTTTACACAAATGATTTTCAAAAACTTGAAATTTTCAGACTTACTAAATATTTTGTTCATTCTTACCTTTTACACTGGTCACACTCCTAAAATTAAAAGTATGTATTCTTTAATTAATCAATAAAAGCATGTACAATATTTATAAACAATACCCAGTTATATGAATTCACATCTTATTTTTTAGGGAAAAGATTCTCTCTCCTCAGAGGAATTAGTAATCGATCATATATAAACAACCCTCCTACAAGATTTCAAAATTAAGATATATAATTATTGTTTTAAAAAGAAAAAATTGGCAATTGATCAGTAACAACACTCCTACAAAATTTCAAAATTAAGAAAAAATTATTTTAAAAAAGAAAAAAAATATTGTTCATTTTAACTTACAGAATTTGATATTGATAAAAACAGCTGGAACACTGTTTTATGTCAGAAAAATGAATACAGCTTTATGTATGAGTGTGAAGGCAATTTTAATTATCACCATGCATGGTCCATATATCTTATGATTAGGACTAAAAAGTTAACAACAAATAAAACTGATGACTCAGCTGTGATCATATTTTGTTACAAAAGTATGATCATGGACTGAGATTTGACATCAGTCTCACAGATGTCAATATGGGGGTAGGGTATGGACAAGAGCTTTGGGGACACTAAGTCAATATAACCAATGTACATGTAACATCTCTTGTCAATGGCAATTGAACTATACGATTTCATTAGGTCCTACTACGGTTGCTGTCACATCAATCTATGAATGAATCATTATATTATTACAGACTAGTGTGGTATTCAAAGGGGGCTACAAGTTTTTCAGAATAACATTAAATGACTTGACCAAGGTGACAGCTGAGTGTACAGATGTATATATGTCGGCCTCCACTCAGGCAACTAATTCAGATGGGTCTGACAAAACTTATTTACCATTATTGAATTACAGGGTCTATCAGCAAGTGGACGGCTGGCAGACCGGATTCCCCTCTGTCTCTCCTTCATCTTCTCTGCCTTCTTCCTCGCCCCCGTCTTCTTTTTCGGCATTTTTACGGTCAATTTTTAAAGTACAGACTTCAACTTTCAGAAAGCATGACTAGCATGTGGCAGTCAAGAGGGCACGACTCCAATGACTAACAAATGTCCTTAAAACGAAATTTTAAAAAGCTCAATAAGAATAGAAAAATATAACATGTGACACAAACATGTATAAAGAAGAAGTGAACCGTTTTATCGGCAAATTCAAGGGGATATGAGTTTTATTTTTAAGGCAACTGACCAACTATAACGGAGGACAGCAATTTTCCTTTGCAAGTTTTTGCGCATGCGCATTCACAAGCGGAAATCGCCATTTTGCAAACAAGTTCGAAATGTAGGTGTGTAAAACCAGAGACATTTTTACTTCACAGCCATGGGATTACAGCCGCTCGAATTCAGTGACTGTCTCACTGACAGTCCGTATTTTAGAGACAATTTGCACTCACATGAGAAGGAATTGGAGCGAACCAGCAAATCGATCAAAAATCTAGTGCAGGAATGCAAGGAAGTGTTGACTGCAACCAGAAGTAAGTTAAAACATCGATAAAGGCTGTGACATATTTTATATATCATTATCAGCTGCTTTAATTTTGGCATCAAAAACTCATCAGCTGTGGCATAAATTTAAGAAGTACGTGTGTTATGAGACTGTCATTTCTAGCTCTAAAGACTAAATACTCCGAGCTGTCAAGTAACAATCTTTCCCCATTAAATTGGGATGATTTATTTGATGGATATAAATAATCTGAATCTGATGTTAGCTTGGTAAGTGCCTCCTGCTTGTTCGAGGTTTGCCTTGTTTAAGGTTCTAGTGTGGGGCATTAATTTTAAGCTATGATTGGCCCCACAATGAGTAGAATAAGGTTGGTTTTGGAACAGAGTTACTTCCTGGTCCCCCCCCCCTCCAAAAAAAAAAAAAATAAAATAAATAAATAAATAAATAAAATTTAAAAAATAACAATAAGTAAATAAGTGATAGAATAAGAATTTTATTAAGATACAAATCCAATTCCATGTCCTCATTTAAAATTAAATAAAAACAAATTTGTATTCTGAAAAGTGAAAGTTGAAAAGTGAAGGTCAGGTAAAATAGGGAGCACAAGTTTATAGGGACAGTCGGGCTGACGTCACACGCCTTAGCAACCGGCATCTGGGGTAAAACAAATCGGGCAACATGGCGGATCGCATTGACTTCTATGTAAAAGTTGGCAGACTTTGTCCGAAGATATCATTCTTCACAGTGCTTGACCACTTGTGTCAGTGAGGATGAGTTATTTACCTGGTTGATTTCCTTTACAGGCTTTTGTAATTAGCCGCTGCACACCTGGTTAACAGATAAAATCGTCCTTAATATAACTGCCGATCGTTATCTGTGATCGGGAATTTTACAGCAGAAGATATTTTGCAAAGGCAGTGCTTGACCTTTTGTGTCTGGCGCGTTGAATCATTTACCTGGACTATTGAGTTAGCAGGCCTTTGTAATAAGCTACTGTTTAACTTGTTACGGGATAAAATTGGTCTTAATTGCATACGCAAATGTCCACAATAAGTACCTGTACATGTACATGAGGTACTGGTAGTGAAATAGGAATGGCTTCTTAGAACGTGGATCGTAAGAAAGGCCTGGGAAATGTGCAACACTGAGATGTTATTAGAATAAGATTTCTACAAATTGTGATTTAATCACCTGCTGCTGCAATAGCCTGGGCAACGGGATAGGGGCAATGTCATCGGTCCCATGGCCTCTTTGGTCTGTATACAGTTCATATGTATGTATATTAATGCAAGCCTGGAAGGACAGCATAAACAGTTGCTTGCCAACTTTTTGGAAGAGAAGACACGTTGTGTTACCTGTATTAATATTGGCAGCTACGCGTCATATGAGTGTTTACAATCTTATTGTGCACTTTTCGGGCGAAATATCATGGAAGAGAGAACGTTAAGTTTCAAAACGTACAAGATTAAAATTAAATTGAATAACAAACACGACAATAAAGCTGTATGTTATTTTAACAGTTAAGGTCGCTTTATCTATGGCAACTTTTTAAAAATTTTACTTTGATAACTTAAAGATTTAGACATTACCTCACAGGTTTGTCAATACAGTATGTTGACGTACATATTTTTTCTTACCTTTATGACGCCATCAATAACTTACAACAAAAAAGTTTGACATTATAGCCCATTAATTTTAACTATACGAATTGATATACCGTCACACATGCCAAAACAAGATGCAATCTCAATTTTTTGTAACTACTACATGTACTAATTAATTTCTGTAACAAATGAAAAACATAAATACCAAACAAGGTACAATGACTTTCTCCTTATCTATAATAAAATGAACTATACACACATACACAAATCTTGTAGTGCATGTATAGCTACGACCAAATCTTGTTTCGATCAACAATCTCGTCTTTAGTCACGTTTGCACGACCTATAGCCTGCAACAGTCGTTTACTTTTCCGTTGATCTTTGAAATTTAACAAATCCCATTAGATTTTATTAATGTGTTGGTAGTGTCACCTGGTACACAGCAAGCTTCCACCATTTAACTTTTGTACGTGCCTGAGAGTTAAAAAGTACCGGTTCACTTCAGTAGACCTGCAAAATGTACCTGTCATATGTGTCAGCAATATGCAACGTCAACAGTTATTAGTACAATTGAAACCTTCCTTGATAATATCAGTTGCTTCCATATGGTTTTCTTTTCAATGAGATGTGAATATTATGCTCATCCAGGTAAGCAAATGAGTCTTTGCAATCTACTACTGTAAGATTCCTGATCACAGATAACGATCGGCAGTTAAGGCCGATTTTATCTCTTAACCAGGTGTGCAGCAGCTAATTACAAAAGCCTGTAAAGGAAATCAACCAGGTAAATAACTCATCCTCACTGACACAAGTGGTCAGGCACTGTGAAGTATGATATCTTCGGATAAAGCCTGCCAACTTTTACATAGAAGTCAATGCGATCCGCCATGTTGCCCGATTTGTTTTACCCCAGATGCCGGTTACTAAGGTAAAGTGCCCGGATGACCGACTGTCCCTATATAATAAGTATCCCTGCAGTGCATACTTGTAGTTTATAAGCAAAATTCAAGTGAACTGTATAATGATACCCCCATGCTAAGACGACAGTTGCACTGTATGAGTGACATAACTGTCTCTTTCTCACAAAAACTGTACTCGTAACTCATGGCTTAGTCACTAAGATGATTATCCACATAAGCCTATCAGTGTATCATGTAGCCAGGGGCTATTGTTCAGGTCAAACCTAAAGACATGCTCCAGTAGTCTGCTTAACAGATATTATTCATTTAGGTGGTTGGGTGTAAGCTCATAAACTTTGATACATGGTGGCTAATGATATTGGGTGGCTCTTGAAGTAGGGATTAATTGAAAAGATTTTTATTTAGCAGAATCTGTATTATTAAGTTACTTCTGTGGGATGGGAGTATCTGGTGCGAAATTGAACATCGCTTGTTTTGTTTAATTTTTTTCTTGTATCCATGATATCTTTATCTTGTTTATTTACACATAAAGTTCTCTGAATATTTCTTAAGTGTGAAATATTTGATACTATATTTTGTTGAATTCTGATTATATATTTGCAAAATAGAAAAAAATTTACGTACTTCAAAAATAAAATGGTGAAAATTGATTTGATATATAGTTTTAGCATCCAGAGAAGATATATCTAGAAGAACACATTAATTTACTCAGGGTAAATCTGGGGAGGGTAATAACAAGTATTAATGTGAATTCTGATAGTGACATTATCCCCTTTACTCTTCTTAATGCCTGTAATTCCTTTGTCATTTCTAAGTCAATTTGCTCCACTGACCATTGGCATCCATCTAATGACCAGTGTACATTTGGGGGTCAGTGAAGTGACCGAGGTGATGCACAGCAGTGAACACAAACCAGTCCTCTGTGTTAATCTCCCATTTGATCTTGGTGCACACCCAGTGTGTTAGATTTCTAACAAGTATAGCAAAATAAGTCAACAGATATTTTTTTTATGCAAGCACTGTGTGAAAATTTGTAAGGATGATTTGGTAACCAAACTAAAATAGTAACCAGTTAGTGCATATAATCTTGAAGCCCATTTTGTAAGTTGATATATGTGTGTTTAATGTTCATATATTTAAAACATTCACTTGTTAAAAAGTGTTTTCACTTCTGAAGTATGAGGGATAACAAATGTGCTTGAACTTGAAATAAAAGGTATTAACAGACTGATTCCCATAAATGAACTCTCCTTTGTCTCCTTTATTTACTGATACCTAAAGATAAAACAGGTAAGATACATAGACCATCCAAAACCATATTGGCTTCATTGCATATATTATCTGAAGGCTTATTCACATGAAGAAGAACTTGACACGAACCATACTGAAAATTGAAATCACGAGCACCAGTATCCTGGTTGCTTTTGAAATATTGGGTTTAACATATAGTAGATGTGAACTCGACCATCAATAATGAAAAAAAGTTCCCCTATCTTGTGATCTGCATAGCATTATTGTGGTGAAGGTGCCAAACCAACGAGAAAGTAACACTCACTTTGGCATCAGGGACCAAAGGAACAGGGTGGGAAAATGTGATCAGAAAATACATTTTATTTCTGTCAGTGATTGTGGCATCAAAATTGGAAAGAAAAAAAAAATAAATGAGCAGGTACCTGCAGACAGGCAAACTATACCTGGCTGAGCTAAGTCATATGTGACTATGTCTGTATTATAATACATGACAAATCAGTAGATAAAATGAATGATATGATTGCTTATTGAAATGGTACAAAAATATAATAATAAAGATAATAAGTATATACCCCAAAACAATATTTTGTCAGATATGCATTCAAAGTGTTGATTTAGAAGTTGTGAAAAATGAGTTGGCTTCATGTCAGTAAGTACATTTGTGTGAGGAACTTAAAAAAACTTTGTAATAACTAGGCAGTGTAATTAGTGAGGCGCCCAAAAGTTTCAAGCAATTACCGTATATTTTTACCAACTATTTCTGCTGTAGTCTCAAAATGAAATACTGGTCTAAGTGCGGTATAATCTCGGCCTTGATCAAGCCAACAACTTCAAACTATTAATTGGCAGTGAAGCTTGCGTGGTTTATTCACCGTAGTAGATCACCTAAGATATATACATCTTAAAGGTGCTTAAAGTTTACCTTGGTGGCAATGATGAGGTCTATTTGCAGAAGCATATTTACTAAGTTGATGAGAAACCTCTTTTCCCAATTGATTGATCCAAGAATGTATAGTTTTGTCAGTAAAAATTTATTAAAAAATACCAGATTTTATTACATGCTTGTTAGTTCTTCATATTTAATTACATGCTTCACATGCTTACCACCCACCCCCACTGTATATATTATAGGGTAACTTTCCTTATAACACTCAAAGTTTCACATCTGTCTGAGTCACACAGCAAATGGCTGTTTCATGACTTAATAGTATTCAAGGACCCTATATCACCAAACATTATGTTACCATAAGAGTGTTATATGAGGCATTTTCAAAACATTTTTTTCACAAGATAGTTAGGGTAAACGGAGTTATCCTGTATGGCAGTTTTCTTAAATAAAGCTGAAATCTGATGGATTTTAAAATCTTGATGCAGGCTAATGTCTGGGTATTATATTGCAATGCTCAATTTGTGACAAACAGCTGTCCCAATTATTTATTTATTTACAGAAAGAGAGAGAGAGAAAGAGAGAAAGACGGAGAGTTCAAAGTCAAATTCTCAATATAAAAAATGTACAGTAACTGTTTGCATGACCCTCTCTTAAATATTTTATTTCAACTTTACGGGGCAGTCTCTTACAATAAATCCAAATGCTTTACCTCATGCTGTGGATCATCATGCTACTGTCAAATTTCCTTTTGCTTGTGAAGATCAGATGCTATTTTCAACCAGCAATTTCTGCATGATAATGTTTCAGTTATAGCAGGTTAAATGCTGGAAAATCACACATGATTTTAGCAAGTACTAGATCAACTCTAAAGATTTACAAAGCCAATGGGTGCTTGAAGTATCTAATTTAGCATCTATATTACTAGTGTTTGAAGAATGCATTAGATTTTTAATTACTGTAACAGTGCAACTGTTTTGATATAAAGAGTGACAATACAGAAAAAATATTAAAGCTTCAAATCCTGCTTATGGGTTGTTGAATTACATGAAGGTTACTATTATATTTACTTATTTGGAACCAGCTCGGGCTTTGTTATTAACAGGCAATTAGCCATTTTTTATCAGCACACCTCATGTGTTTCCATATACACTGTCCATTTCTATTTCCATAAATGGAGCTCAGCAGGTGTGTCAGTAATATAGAAGTTGGTTTTACTGAAACTCCTTGTGACCATAGCCCTATTAGATGTCAAATGTTTGTCATAGGTAGAGTGTCAGGGTCAAGATATCTTGATGTCCATCTGGAGGAATGCATAACTGACCAGGTCACCACAAATTGCTGACCCATGAGACATTGAAGCCTGGTTAGGACAATGGGCATTATAGGAATGGACACTAAATTGACTTGTGTCCCCCTCCTCCTCCCTCCTCCTCTCAAAACTTAAAGAAACTGTAATCTCTTCTGAATGATTTAGAAAAATTACTTGTTCAGATTGATTTTTTTAAAAAAAATTTGGTTAAATTGGAAAAAGACCTAGTATGCAGATGAAGATTTTGTATTTTAATTGTTAATTAAAATGAATACTCTGAAAATGATTGTTGTTGAGAAATCAAGGACAAAACCTGATTATTAAGGTGTATAATAAAATATTTGAAAACATAATTTAGCTTAGGGTATCTGGAGCAAATTTATATTTTAAATGTAAAACTGATCTTCACCAGTGGTAAAATTACACATATGCTGAGATATTTAATTTTGGTCCAAAGAAAAATTAATATTTAGCTTTCAGCATTGAAATTTTGCAAGGTTTATGAGTCATATCAGACCAAATTCAGATCAAAGTGAAGTAACTTTTGCAAATTATAGTGCTGATGTTTGCCTTCCCCTCTTCCTTTCAGATCTACAGAAAACCCAGAGGTCCTTTGCTCAGCATTTAATGGACTTCAAGTTTGAGTGCATTGGTATGCAACAAACTGATGATGAGATTGTGATAGGTATGTATTTCCACCTTGTTTTTCATGCACGTGGTATCTACCTGGCATCTTCTGACTATTTATAATTTTAGAAGAAAAATATATGTATATTTGTGACTGTGAGTCTGTGTGTTTGTTTGTTTGTTTGTTTGTTTGTTTGTTTGTTTTTGGTTAAATTTACGTTTCATGGTAGAGGCCACAATTTCAGAGATTTTGGTTTCATTTAGTTATTTGTGAGAATTTTTGTGTTGGTATGGAAAATTCCACAGATTTACATTTTTAGATTTGATTGTATAAGCAGTTTTTTTATTCAGTAGAGTACTTGCTTGTAGCTTTTTTCTCACTCATTGTGTTTTAACAACTAATTTCCTCCTCACCATCACCTTTCTGACTTTGTCCACAGGGATAATGACATGTGCTTTTCAAGGCAGAATTGTTCCAAAGTGCAGACCGGAAGGATGATGTCACTTCTTTTAAAACTATTGTTAAATTTCAGTCATACGACTTACTAGTATTTGTCAGTCATGCTGTGACATCTCTGTAACGTAAAACTCTTTCAAACAACTTGTTTTGTGATATGGAATTGCTTGTTTCCCTTCAGGAGTCTATAACTAACTTCCTTATTAACAAGTGCTGTTTAGTAGCACTAACTTAAAGAAAGGGGATCTTTCTGATGTAAAATGTTATATAGCACAAAAGATGAATTTTCCCTGGAACTTCTTTTAGTGAAAGCCAATCTCTTTATTCTGAAGCTGGAAATGTATAAATGCCAAATTAATCAATGCTAAACAGCACAGAAAGCAATTCAAAATATAACCATCAGATTATCTTATCACTTGACCAGAAGAACCTGTTTTATGTAAGAATAAGAATGCATGATTGATAGACCATAACATTCTGTTGACATTTGCCAGACGGTTGTCATGTTGATATGATGCCCTGCATATGACTTTCTCTTCTTTTATGTGGAAATTCTATGATAGTTTTCATGGCCATTATGTCTGTAATATAATATTTTTTCATAAAGATATATTGGGCAGTAACTGTGGATTGACCCTTACTTAGATATATAAGTGCTGTATGGAGTTGAAGAATGCCATGTAATGAACGCGTTGGCTAAACCGTGCTGAGAAGCATATTATATAAGATGGAAATAAGGAAATTGCTAAGCACTGAAAATGAGCAGCTTTATGTGTATTTTGTTATCATTTTGACAAAATATCTTTCAGATCTTTGAAAAATCGGTCCTTTGATACCTATCCCAATGAACAAATTGTACCGCAAACTACGTTGGTCCAGGACTGGAGTGGACTCTCTCTAGATCTGCGCCCAACAAGTCCAGCTAATTTAATTGACCAGCATGGCTTGTGATATACCCGACATGATTCTTGTATATGTTGGCATGAATAATAGATGGGCAGTGGCTAGCGGCACAGGTTCATGTTGATTGATTTCTTGTTAGAATTCATTGCAGTTGCATTGCCCAGTATTGTATTAAGCAGTGAATATACATGGCTATTATATGATGAGGTGCTGTTCACACAGGATAATTTCTTAGCAAACCTGGTTGTGCTGCCCAGCTGCTGTCTTTTACTGACCACCATGCCATAGATCATAAGTTGATTGCTTTACAATATGCTTTGGTATCTTCACTGTATCAGTACAGAGGTCTGGTGTGTGTGTGTGTATGCGTGCGCGCACGCGCGTGTGTGAAATACATTGCTTCTACGGACCTAACACAGGGTTACTAGCTATTTATCCAAATTGAATGTCTCCTTGCCTGTGATAAGCCATCATGTCCAGACCTGATACATGAGATCAGGCTTTTTACCATTCAGGAGTGCACCTTGGTATTATGAACTTATTATTGGCCAGTGTCCACTCACACTGGACTGGTGTGACTGAATCTATGGCCAGTATTGTCCTTGGTGTAAATGACCAGCTGTAGGTGGTGGACAGTGAATGCCAACTTCAATATCCACTACAAATTGTATTTCTCAAAATGGGTATCAAATGTATCCCATTAAGTACACACCAGTGAGATTTTGCATAACCTTGTTATGGTGCCGATTCATTAATAGAATAAAGAAAAGTAATGTCCTTTTATTGAGCGATACAGCAGAAGTATGCCAGCAAAATTGGACACTTGGGGGTTACTGTTGGAGTTTCATTAATATTTATGGGTTGACCCTTTGTATTGGCAGTAAAAAACCATTTTGTCTCTTTTTTCTTTGCATTGGTTTTCTTGTTCTGTATCTGTGAGTGATTCAGAGCCCCCCCCCCCCCCCAAAAAAAAAAAAAAAAAGTAAATAAATAATGATAAAGTAATAATAATTAGGAAAAGGTTATTTCAAAGTGTGAGAAAATGATTCTCACGTCTCAAAATATTGCAATCTTTTTCCGAGACTTTTCAGTCATTACCTACAGCCTCGATTACCCAGACAAATTCAATACTTGGCAGTTAACTAATATAAGTTTTCATGAAGGTACATTACATGTGTCATGTCCAAATGAAATGATGGATGTTTACAGACCAGGACAACAGATAAGCAACTTATCGTAGAGTAAAACATATGATCATTGATGCATCCCGGGTATATAGATAAATCATGGGGATAGTGTTCAGCCTATGTCCATATATTCATATTGGATTTTATCTTTGATATCAGGTTTACGAATGGGTCAATCAAATTCACCTGCCCTTTTGTTGCCATGCAGATTTTCATGTACAGACACAGTAGTAGGGTCTTTACATATTGCAGTCACCTGTGTGAGTCTGTGTTGCGTTATCTCTCTGTGTCTGCATCGTGTCATCTCCTGGTGTGACGGTGTCTTGCCACAAGCTCCGTGTGTCTGAGTCGTGTCTTCACCTGTATGTGTGTGTGTGTGTGTTTGTGTGTGTGTGTGTGTGTGTGTATGTTTGTGTGTGTGTGTGTGTGTGTGTGTGTGTGTGTGTGTGCATCATGTCATCCCCTCTGTCTGTCGGTGCTCATTTCATGTTTTAAATTTTATTTCTTCAGGAGAGAAAAACCATCCTTTCAAATAACCATCCAAATTTTTTTTACCTAAAGCTTATCTGCAGAGTGACTTTGATCAAAAGAACTCTAATATTTTTTTACCCTTGGTGTTCTTCGGCTTTTTAATTACAATTTAAAACTTTGCTTGCCATAATGCTGTCTTATTCATTATTTACAGCTCAGTCCTTGCAAGAGTTTGGCAAGCTGATTGCATCCATCGAAGACGAGAGGGATAAAATGGTATGTATTGATTAAAAAAAGAAGAGGGAAGCAAGGGATATGATAAAACAGACTGTTCATACCCCTTGTATTCTCACATTTTTCTCCTCAAGTATCCAACCACTACACCCTGTGAGTCAAATATCTTATGCCTTTGTTAAGTCTTTGCAATGAAAAAGTATTAAAAAAAAGAATGTGCCATAATCGATTAGAAGTAAGTTTGCCAAATTTTAAGTGAATGGTTTAAATATGCTTAGAGTACTTCGTATTCTTCCTACATAAATTGATGATAATTGTGATGAACGTAAGTTGGATTTGATACGATAGAAATATGAAAAAGCACCAGTTTGCTGCATGGGAGACAGAACGTGACATGATGCAGTTCTGGTTGGAAAACTGCCTTTGCCAGTAAAAGCCATCACTTCCATCAAATGCACATATACAATGTATACCAACTCTGGGCAATCAATTTATGACTCTGTAGCTTTTAAGAGAAGTGACAGTACAATATCTGCTGTGTCAACATACATTTAAACCATATCAATTAATAATTTTTGGTGCTATTTAATATAAAAGGAGAGTGATTATGGTAGTGATGACTGTGTCATCTTGACCAGAGGCTTTGCTGCATGGGGAATTTTGGTATATTTTTATTGTGTGGGTGATCTCAATTGTAAAAAAGGCCACAGTTGTTGGTAAATGTCTGCAAACATATACTGACATTTTCCATTGTGGAACTTTAGTTACACTACTATTTCTCAGAAAATTGACAAAAATTCTGAATATAGATTTCAACTGAGAAATTTAGCCTATGATCTTTTTCCCAAATTTGGGCAAGATGTATGCCACACCTGTCAATTTTAGCATTTTAAGAGCTGAACGGATGTCCTTATGACAGAACAATGAATAAATATAAGATAAATTTGTGTCTTAACTAATAACAGTAGTGTTGATAAAATATATTTTCTCTCAGAGTTTTTCTATTGGTGTATTATGTTAATATGAGAAAGTCATGGCCAGGGATGATACATGCACAAGATGCCACTATGAATCACCACACTTGTTCTAGCTTCAGAAATGTTCTTTCCATGTTCAACACACAGACTTAACAGACTGCTCATGCCCATAAAATCTTATTGATTTTTTTCCTAGAAGAGATCATGGTCCTGCAGAGATTTTATGGGAGCATGCCAACAGAGAACTTATACCACTGCTGGCCTTTCTGAGTAGGGCTCTTGTGTAACCAGGAAGTAAAGGGGTGGAAATGGGGTAGTTGGGGCGGGGTGGGGGGGGGGTGCAGATCTTAATGCTCACAGTTTGTGAGCTTGAGTGTCATTTTGCATCTGAATATCCATGCACAGTTATCACTTTAAAATTTCACTAAAGTAAGCCAATTGTTTTTTGAGAACTTTGGAATAGTCTTAATGCCCATATATATATATATATATATATATATATATATATATATATATATATATATATATATATATATATATATATATATATATATATATATATATATATATGGCACCACATTCATTAGGAAAATGAATTTCATTTGGAATGAGTAATTAACACTTGTAGCACATAATATAATTTTTACAGGTGTACAATTCAGCCTGCATAGCTGCAAATTCTTTATTATCACTGTCTGTACATGTTGAATTTTGCACTCCTTCAATAGCCTACCTGATTAACAATCAGATATTCCAGCAGAATAAAAAATTCAATTGCTTACTAGTAACAGGTTTTTTTTTGTGGGGTAGATTTTGTTTTCATACATAAATAAGTTCAGTAAGAGGTGGTTTATATATACTTCAGCTGTGTTTTAAATAGTATAATTTGTCCCTGTAAATCGTATGTTTGCCACTGACGTGGAAATCATCTCTGATAATCTGAACAGGCTGAATAACATGCCTATCTGTCCTCTTTTTCTAGTCACATTTTTTAGAAACTTTTCATTGTCAACATAGCTATCTCTTATCAGCTGTTCTGTGTCATGTGGATTTGCACTGGATGGCAATAGGCAAAAGGTATGTTTACACTCTTTGGAATGAGAAGCTTTCGATCCAGGTTCCAGTTTTTTGTAAAGCTAAATGCTCACTGAATTTGTGAGCAAGAGAATTTATGTTTGTGAGAGAATTTTCTGAAAAGGAAGGGTTGTTTCACAAAGCCATTGCAATCTTCAGTCGCAGAGTGCTTTGCATTTCAAGCACAAAAATTTGGAGGCAACTTTCATTTTGTTCAATGTGGGGTTACATATTAAGTAAACAACTATGATATTTGATGTGGACAGGTTGGATTGGTTTAAGTACACACTAACTAGCATGCAGAACTAGTATATGAATCACATTTAATTTGTTAATTAAAATGATAAATGGATTAAAGAAGGGAAAAAATATCAATTTATAATAATAATAATAATAATAATTATTATTATTATTATTATTATTATTGTTAATTTGTCATCTTTTTTAGAAGTGGTCTAAGGAACCTGAAATGTTTGTTCTTCAGGAATTTTGGTCTGAAGTTATCTTGGTCTGAACGTAACTACCTGTCTCTCACACGAGTCTGGTTCGACGCTCTTCTCTAATCCCATATCAGCTTGCTCTTTGTCGTGGCCTCCTCTTCATTTGCCACTTCTCATAACCCCATGTTTGTGGAGAGGAAAGTTTGTTTGCGTTTAGGTCTAACGTTATTCCGCCTCAACACCCTTACATAAAGGCATGGAATTGGCTTCTTGATCATAAAATAACCCGAACACCTCCTGTGCTCCTGGGTTGCAGCGGCAAGAATAACTTTTTACCCAAGTTGTATAGTGACAAAATATCCCAATTAAATTTCATTATGGAAAATACGATAAAAACTTGTTGACTTATGTTTTACAATAGTTCCCAAAACAACCCCCAACCTTAGCCATTATTGGCCTGTTTAGGGGAAAACGTCTTTTTACTTTTAGATTGTAATGATGAAATATTAACGGAATTTTCCTGTTGCAAAAAAAAGATTCAAAAAGCTATTGGTTTTTGTGTTTTTATAAGTTGGGAGCTCATTTCGTTAGGCTTCATACAGAAGAATTTAGCTGTGGTCATAGGATGTACTGATAAGTCACAAACAGGTTAGTAAAGGTTTTGTTACTTTTCCATCCTTATTTTATAGACCAGTGAAAAATTAATTAAAATGTGAATTTACAAAAAGTAAGATTGGTAATACTTTGATTGGAAGTTTCAGTCAGATTTATATAAAAAAGGACAAAATTTAAACTAAAAATAAAGACTTACATTTTTTGTCTTTTTAATAGTTTGTACGTATAGCAAAACTGGCTATAGAACATAAGTGTAAATCTATTAAAAAATTAGTTTTTCTACACACAAAAGAGACTAAATCCAATTCTATAGTTGTTCTGTCTACACAGACTTTTTAAGTATCTTGGGTAATTTTTTCTTTCAAGTATATTGTTGAAATAACCAGAAGTAAAGAAAAGATGTTTTAGAATGATGTTGCTACCTTGTTCTTATCCTGCAACAAGCAGATGCTCATGGAAGGAAATGTACTCTGAAATGTACATCTTCGTATATTTCACTTGAAATGTACATCTTCGTACATTTCACTTGAAATGTACTATTTCTGCTGATCTTGTACACCTGCTCGACATCTTATTACAGATTTATAGGTAGAAATGCATGAGCCAGGTTGATGTTGGTCTACTGCAAGCAATATTTGCTGTAAGCATATATTTACATGGTGGAAATATGCATTTACAATACATGGACCTTAATTTATCAACTAAAACATAGACATGTTTTGTAGTTACAGCTTGTACATTGAAAGGAAGGATGTGTAGTTGATATCAAAGATTTCTTCAGGCTATTTCTGAATACGTTTGCTTTTGAAAATCTGCAAACGTTAACTTTCAGTGAATTCACCAACAATTTTTCACTATTTTATTTAGCCAGGATACATCATATCAGCCAATAGAAAAACATGAGGAGGTCATCTGATAACAAAGCTATTGCTTTTTGCATGCCTTAGACTCAGCATGAAATAATGCAACCATCAGTTTCTATACCGAGTGGTTTCATTGGGCATTTAGCCGCAAAGAAAAAAAAAAAAAAAGAGTATAAGGTGACCATTGAATCAAGTGAAAGAAAGAAAAGATTCCAAAGATTCCAATTGATTGATTGATTTATTGATTTCCTCTCGGAGAATTCTCAGCATGGTGGATTCACTGGCATTTTATATATATGTACATTTTATGAAGTACGGTATATACTTGAAATTTTCAAATGCTTCACATATTCTTGTATTTTATCATTTAAAGGCAATCATTTCAGTATCTTAGAAAAAAGAAATAACTGTTTAACATAGAGCCAACTCCCATTTTACAACTTCTGATTCAATATTAACATGAATTACTGACAAAACAGTTTTTTTCTGAAATTTATTTTTTATTTCATCTAAATGTAATGAATAATCTCCATACATTTTTCTGAAGCTTCCTGGTTCTTCTGAACTGGTATTTTTCCTGGAATTGCTTTCACCTGGCTGCCACATGACAGCTGCAGTTTTGTAGTAAATGGAAATTGCCCAAGATTGCTGGTATTGTACTATTTAAATGAGTATGAGGAATTGCTGCAGACCCCGTAGCTTAGGACTGATTAATATTTCTTTCGATTGCAAGTGATTAAAGCATAACCAAAATTTTAAGCTAATGAATAAAAAAGGAGAAATTACAAAATGGGGCATTGGAATCTGCATGTGGCATATAATAATATCATTATCATTATATGTAAGCTATGCTTTTTAGCAGAATGCCTGAGAATTGCTCTTGTTAGCAGTCTGTAGAACAAGTGCAGTATTTGGGCTAAGAATGTACTGGACTTCTGTTTTTTGTCATCCCTCTGGCTAAATGAACATGCTTGTTTGACAAGCACAGTAGCCATACAGGCCTTTTTCTTACTAGAATAGTTTATAGGCTTATAGGCTTATAGGTTTATAGGCATTCAGTGCACATAAACATT